GCCCTGCCTAAGGTTCCCAGGACACCAAACACAGGCAGGTGGGGGAGTCACAGAGTCAGCCACATCCAGCCTGGTGACAGTCCCGCCCCAGTGCTCAGGGACCAGCCAGTTGGGACAAGCCTTAAGCAGAGACCTAACCTCATTCTTAAAAAAATAATAATAATTGATTTTTTTACAGAGAGAAAGGGAGAGGGATAGAGAGTTAGAAACATCGATGAGAGAGAAACATCGATCAGCTGCCTCTTGCACACCCCCTACCAGGGACGTGCCCGTAACCAAGGTACATGCCCTTGACCAAAATCGAATCCGGGACCTTTCAGTCCGCAGGCTTACACTCTATCCACTGAGCCAAACCGGTTTCAAGACAACCTCATTCTTTTGGTTCAGTACCTCACCCAGTGCCTGGCCAAACCCAGGTTCTCAATGGATGAGTGTTCAGCGAGTGGATGAAAGAATGGAGGGATGAAACCATGGCAGACAGTGGCTCATTGCCACTTACCGGACTCCTAGCCTAACAGTCCAGACGGGGAGCAAAGACCTTTGATTTCAGCGCTTTGGCGCGGTGTGCAGAGAAGAGCTGCTTTCGAAAGGAAGCCACAGATGTGGGATGCTCGCCGCAGTGCCCTCATATCCCCCCGCTGCTCGTGTATCCAACCTGCTGTTTCTCTGCCACCACAGCTCTTGGGCCCTTCTCTCTCTCAGCCTCAGTTTTCTCACTTGTAAACTGGAATAGTAGTAATAACAATTCCATAGAGCTGGATGGGCGTACATAAAATACCGTTTGGGAAAATATAAAGTGCACAATGCCTGGCACATCAATGCTCAACTAATGGCAGTAATGACAATGACATTGAAATGGACACACAGTGACAGACCCCCCCCCCCCAACTGATGGACGGCGTATGATGTAACCTGTATCTGCAGCACAAACATTCCTGAGCACCTAACCAGGCACCTTATATGGACTGTACATTGAACCACTCATCAGCACCTGCCAAATACCCTAAGCCCCGGATTCCTAAGTCTCTAGGTCCCTAATCATGTGCCTTACATGAAACCACCAATCAGCGCGTGCCGAGTACCCTAAGCCCCACCCCTTCCCTTTCCTCCCCTCAAAAGGCGTGTTCACCCTGCACATGTGCTCTCTTCCATTGGGAGGCAGCCCGGCAGGGTTCCTTCTCCTCCAATAAAGCCTGTGTCCTGGTCTCTGGCCTCCTGTCTCATCTTTCACACAGTATCTAAGCCCCTAGACCCGACACTCAGGTCCAGTCATCATGCTTTTCAAAACCCCACCCAAAGCACCCTTAGTGGTGTCGCTCCTGCCTCGTTTTCATGTCCCAGAGCACCAGGCAGGCTTCAAGGTGCCCGAAGGAAGGACATGCACCCTCCTGGCCCCAGATGCCTGTACAAGGGCCTAAGGCAGACAGACAGCTCCTCTCCCCTCTCATCTGGGCTTCTGGTGTGAGGCCTGGCCTGCACAGCTGCCCAGACCCTGGCATCCACTCCCCTCTTCAGACTCAAAGCCCTGATGTAGGCCAGTAACCCTGGGCCCTTCCAACCCTCCAGCCAGGCAGAGTCCAGTTTGCCATCCCTCCCCAGACCTGGGTCAGCTGACTCCCCATGTCCTTGACCCCTTGTTGGTCAGGAAGACCTTAAAGGTCATCTCTTCTTGAAATCTGAACCTCTATCCAAATGCTCAGAGACACTAAATGTCTTCCACAATTTTAGGGGTGCCTGGGCCCTCTGAGGTCATCCTGGACCACAGGGTTGTAAACCCTTGATCCAGCTCAACTGCCACTTTTAAAAAATAACTTCTCTATTAAGATACAACTCACAAACCACAAGGTTCACCCCCCCCCTTTTTGTTTTGTTAATTCTCACCCGAGGATATGTTTTTCATTGCTTTTCAGAGAGAGTGAAAGAAGGGAGGGAGGGAAAGAGAGAGAGAGTGGGAGAGAAACATCAATGTGAAAGACACATCGATTAGTTGCCTCCTGCTCATGCTCCTACAGGGGTTAGAATGAATCTGCAACCCAGGGACATGCCCATGGCCAGAATCGAACCCAAGGCTCTTTGGTGCACAGGCCAACGCTCTGTCACTTAGCCATACCACGGGGCGAGTTCACCCTGTCAAGGTGTGTAATCCCGTGATTTTTAGTAGAGTCACAAAGTTGAGCATCAGTCACCACTGTCTAATTCCAGAACACTTTCATCACCCCCAAAAAAAAATGCCACACACATTAGCAGTCACTCCCCAATCTCCCCCTGCCCCCAAGCCCTGGCAACCACTATGTCTACTTTCTATCTCTATGGACTTGCCTCTTCTGGACATTTCGTATCAACTCGGTCATGCAATCTCTGGCCTCTTATGCCTGACTTTTATGCCTTAGCAAGATTCATCTGGATTGCTAAAACTGGTTTGGCTCTGTGGATAGAGCGTCAGCCTGCAGACTGAAAGGTCCCAGGTTCAATTCCGGTCAAGGGCATGTACCTTGGTTGCAGGCACATCCCCAGTAGGGGATGTGCAGGAGGCATCTGATTGATGTTTCTCTCTCATCGTTGCTTCTAACTGTCTATCCCTCTCCCTTCCTCTCTGTAAGAAATCAATAAAATGTATTTAAAAAAAACAAAAAAAAACCAAGTCAGATCATATCACTGCTTTGCTCATAACCCTCCAACGACTGCCATCGCACTCAGACTAAAAGTCAAGGTTCTTACTGTGGCCTTTGCATGCTCCCATGATCCTCTCCATCTCTGACATCATCTCTCTGCGCTCCAGCCCTGCTTTCCTTTCCCAAACACCAAGCGCTCTCCGGTCACAGGACCTTTGCACTGCTTCTTCCTTCTGCCTGCACCGCTCTCCTCCCCGCGGCTCATTACCTGATTTTCTTTGTGAGAAAACGGCCTTCCCAAAGAGGCCTTTCCTCAAAAACTTATGTAAAACAGCTCTTCCCTTTCATGTTTTCTCTCCCGATGCTGCTTGCTTTTTTTTTTTTTTTTTATAGCACGAATCACCATCTGACATGTGATACAGATATATGTTCACTTGCCTCTCACCTGTCTCCTTCCCTAGAATGTCAGCTCCGTGAGGGCAGGGAGTCTGGTTCATGGTGCTCATTCCTGTAGCCCCAGTGCCCAGAACGGAGCTGGCACACAGTAGGTGTTCAACAGGCATTCAGGGCTAAGGGACCGTGAATAAGCAGTCTAGCCCTTTCACCAACCGCCATCCGGTTGAGACTATGACAACCACGATAGCAGCTGATTGTGAATCTAGAGCATTTCCTCCGAAGCCAGGGCCTTGCACTTAATCCTTGAACCCTGAGAGTTGGAGATGAGGATGAGCTCAGAGAGGTTAAGCGATTTGCCCCAAAGAGACGGGAATGGCATCATCAGAAGAGGAGCCCAGGCATCCAACCTGACCGAGCAGAGCTCTTAAGCCGCTGAGCCATGATGTGCCACACGCTCAGGTAAGAAAACAAAAACAAAACCAAACAAATAAAAAGAAAAACAGTGGACATGGAAGCCGCGGCTGAGCTCCAGGCGCCAGGCTCTGAGACTGCGGCTCTTTGATCTCTGCAGCGCCCGTGGCCCCTGACCCCGCCGTGAGTTATGGGGGCCGCGGGAGCCATCGCACAGCATTCCCGGACTCCCGGGGTCGGCGGGCCGTGGCGCCCCGAGCGGTGATGGATGAGCCAGTCTCTGGCGCTGGCTTTGTCCGGGCGGAGCCGGGCTGGGGAGCTTCAGGCAGACTTTGGACAAGGCGTGGCGAGAGGCGGTCCGTGTGCGTGCGTGTGTGCGTGCGTGTGTGTGTGTGAATGTATGTGTGTGTGTAGTGTGTGTGTGTGTGTGAGTGTGTGTGTGAATGTATGTGTGTGTGCGTAGTGTGTGTGAGTGTGAGTGTGTGTGTGAATGTATGTGTGTGTGTATGCGTGCGTGTGTGCGTGTAGTGTGTGTGAGTGTGTGTGTGAATGTATGTGTGTGTAGTGTGTGTGTGTGTGTAGTGTGTGTGAGTGTGAGTGTGTGTGTGAATGTATGTGTGTGCGCGTAGTGTGTGTGAGTGTGAGTGTGTGTGTGAATGTATGTGTGTGTGTGTAGTGTGTGTGCGTGTGTGTGTGTGTAGTGTGTGAGTGAGTGTGTGTGTGAATGTATGTGTGTGTGTAGTGGGTGTGAGTGTGGGTGTGAGTGTGTGTGTGTGTGTGTGTGAGTGTGTGTGTGATGCTTGGGTAGAGGGATTGCCTGGCTTCCTTTCCCGGAGCGCGGAGGGGGGGAGGGTAAGCACTGGTGCAGTCACCAGCGCCCGGGAATCTCACCAGGCAGAGCTGTGAAGACTCCAAACCCTCACATCCCAGAGCGAGCTCCCCCAGAACCCCGCCCCCCACTTGGCGTACTTTCGGGGGCTACACAGGCCCCGCCGCGCCGGGTCCGCCTCCCTCGCCACCGGCGTTTCTCCGGTCCCATTGACAGACCGGGCGGAATAATCCTTTTGGGGACCCGCCGGCCCCCACCCGGCCAGCCGCGGCAGCAGCTGAGCGCTCCGCTCCGATCCATTGTTGGGGTCCACCAGGGACCCCCCGCCGTGGCCCTTTGTCGCTCGCTCCCCGCGGGGCCGCTCCAGAGGCGCCGCCGCTGCCCGCGCCCCGCCCGCCCCCCCGCGCCCCCCGCGCCCCGGGCCGCGCGGCGAAGGCTCTTACGCACCCGGAGGAGCGGGCCCGCCTCGCCCGGGGCCCGCGGCGCCGCCCGGCTGCGCCCGCCTTTGTCTGTTCCTTTGTCCGCCCCGCGCCCTCGCGGCGGCGGCGGCTGGGCCTCCGGGGAGCGGCCCGGCACGCCGAGCGCAGCTGGCGAGGGCGCGCCCGGGGAGCGCGCGGTCCGGCCCGGCCCGGGGCTGCCCCTTCGCGGGGGGCCTCGGAGCCCGCTCCCCCGCCCTTTCCCCGCCCCCCCCCCCCCCCTCCCGCCCGCCCGCGCCCCCCGCCCCTTCCTCCAGCCCCCGCGCAGCCCGGGCGCATCCTCCGCCGCCCGCGCACCTCTCCGCGCCGGCCCCGCTCCGCGGCTCGGCCCTCGGCTGCGTTCGGCTCCCGCAGGCTCTCGGCCCGACGTCCCTCGGTCCCCGCCTCGCCGTCCGTCCGTCCAGGTAAGGCCCGGCCCGGCCCGCCCCGCCCCCCGCCGCACCTGCGCGCGGTGACAAAGGTGGTCCGCCCGGCGCTCTGGGACCCGTGCGCCTGGGCTTAGGCTGCGGGCGAGGATGCTGCGCTCCTCCCCGCCTTCCTGGCCCTGCGACCCGTCGGTCCGTCCGCCCGTTACTCACCCGCCTTCCGCCGGACACTCACTTTCCCACGATCGGATGTTCGGCCCCGCGCGCGCCCTCGCCGCCCGCTCCTGGCCGCGGCTCTAGCTCCCTCTCCTCCCCGGCTCCAGCCTTCTTTTTCCCGGACGCGGTCTCTCTTTGTCTCTATGTCTCTGAGTCTCGGGGGGCGGGGGGGTATCTCTCAGTCCGGAGGACCCAGCTCACCACAGTTCCAAGAAGCTTCGGAGGCTCCCTGAGCTCTGGAGAGAGCTGCCAGGCGTGCCCTCCTGCCCCTCTCGGGGCTGCCCGGAGCGCTGCGAGGTGCTGCAGGGAGATGGGGAGTCAGGGTGCGCCCCGTGTTTTCCCTTTGGGCACGAACCAGTACTGCGCTCCGATGGCGCACCCCCTCTGGCTCCCCACTGCGGGCTGCTGTCCTGCGCGCTGGGGTCTCGGCCTCCTGCGGACGCCACGGGCTGCGGGGAGAGGGCTCTTGGCTTGGGTTTCCCGCCAAGTCTTGCTTCCTCCACTGGATGCCCCTCAGCTTCGCCTCTGTGTCTGGTCTCTGCGGCCCAGCGCCCTCCTCCACGCTGCTCACCTCCCAGTCCGTCTGGGGGCACGCAAGACAGTGCCCAGGTGGGTGCTGGTGTAGTGCCACCCCTCTGGGGTCCAGCAGGCATGTTCTGGGAGCGACTTGGACAAAGGAGCGCACTTCTCTGAGCCTCAGGGTCCCTTTCATAAAAGGAGAATAATTGTAGCACTTACTATAAAGACGTGTGTGGAGTCCGTGGGAAAAAGCATGCTGGATTGGACCAGCGCAGGGCACACTCGGAGGCCCTGAGGGAGTTTCCAGTCCCTGGGTGGGGTCCGGGCGAGGCAGAGGGGTGTGTCCTCCAGAGAAAGGGGGAAATGGATCAAAAATTGAAGGTTAGAGACACAGCAGAGAAAGCCGACTAAGCCCCCTTGCCATCACTCTCACACCACCCACCGCCCACCCCTGCAGGCATTTGCCTCCTCACAGACGCTGTTCTCTTTCTGTCTCTGCCTCTGATTGTCCTCAAATCAGAGTTAAAAAATCAGGGTGAAAAGGGGTTCTGCCTTCAGAATGAGCTCAGCGTGGCTGTCGATGATGCCAGCAGCTGGCCATTTATCATGCGGTGTCCGGGTGACTCATCCCCAGTCCCCGAGCTCTGTTCTGCACCGATTGCTTTTTCCCTGGCGATAGCTCACAAGCCATTTTCTGTCCCCCGGGGGGAGCGTCAGGCGGGACCCTGGACCTGCTGTGTGGTCGCCCAGGCCCTCTGGCCATCATCTGTGCCCTCACCACGGGGGACCCCCACCCCAGGTGTCCACTAGTATGTGGGCCCAGGGGCTGAGTGAGGAAACTTCAGGAGAGGGAAGCCTTCTCCCAGCAGGCACTTTCTGGGCTCTCCTGGCAGAGGTTTTGTTTTCAGCCACAGCCAGGCTCCACCCAGAGCCTTTCCCTTCAGAGGCACGAGTGGGACTGGGGACACACTCGCACCCCATTCAGCCTCCGCTCTTGATCCTGCCTGGCAGACGGGCCCAACTCTGGCACCCAGAGCCTTTCTCCATCTCTGGCCCCCGCCTTCTTCTTTTTCTTGCTTTTAAAAAAAAATGTAAATATATTTTATTGATTTTTTTTTTACAGGGAGGAAGGGAGAGGGATAGAGTTAGAAACATCGATGGGAGAGAAACATCGATCAGCTGCCTCCTGCACACTTCCCACTGGGATGTGCCCTTAACCGGAATTGAACCTGGGACCCTTGAGTCCGCAGGCCGACGTGCTGTCCACTGAGCCAAACCGGTGAGGGCTGTCCCCCACCTTCTTGGGCCACAAGAGCCCCTGTGACTTCTAGGAACCTTGCTCACAGCCTCCTTGCCCCTCGCCCACGTGAAAATGACAGCACCTTCTCTGCCTTCCTCTCCATTCAACCCACCCCTCTCCCCAGCCCTAAACTCCTCCATGGCTCCCTGGTGACGCTAAGCTAACTGCCTGCCTCCCACCGCATCCTCCCGCTCCTGGGGGCTCAGCCATGATGGAAAGCTAATCCTCTCCATGCCCTGACTTCCCTGAGCCCTTGCCTCCATCTGAAATGTCTCCCCTGCCCTGTGCTCAGCTGGTGGTTACCCCTCCTGCTCCCCTTTGCCTCCCTGTCTCTGTGGTCCCCGTTTCCCTGGGTGGGGCGGGGTCTCACTCCACCTGTAGTCCCAAAGCCTGACCCTCAGTGGGTGCTCTGCACACACGTGTTCTATGGAATGGAATCCTGGGTCAATGAGACAGGAATGAACTGGAAATCGTGGGCCACAGGTTATTCCTAGGTGTGACTGGTCCTGCTGGCCAGGCCAGGGGCAGCGTTGGCTCTGGCACAAAGGGCCATGGCTGGGGAGGTTAGGGGGGAGCAAACTCTCTGACATTCCTGTGGTTCGGGGAGGGCCTGCATCCCTCTGGAAGGGGAGGGTGGTCTGTGCCTGATGAGAGCAGAGGAAGCGGACCGGACAGGGAAGTGACTGCCCAGGTCCGGCGGAGTTGGTTTTCCCAGCGGGACTGCTTAGCACTGTGTCACCCACAGGCGTCCCCTCACTTGTCTCCGCCAGAACCGGGGCAGAGCTGGGGTCTGCGTCCCGGCCTCCACGACTGCACAGCCCGGGAACAGCAGCAGCGGAGAGGGGTCCTGGGCGTATTCCCAGGTGGGGTGTCAGACAAGCCGCCCTGTCCTGAGCCTCACAGCTGAGACCTGCCTCCCTTGCTGCTCCAGGCCCTCTGCTCGTCCCACCCAGCCCTTCCTCTCGAGTGGGCCTCTGTGGCCAACAGAGCATGGGCCTGCCCAGGAAGGACGCGAGAGGGTGGGAGGACTGGCCAGGAGAGGCCCTGTCCCCCCTCTCCCTTCCCCACTGCAACACCCAGGCCTGGCATTGATCCCCGGGACACCTCCCTGGATGGATGTGGCATCATGAGGGATGAGGCCCCTGCCTGACCCAGAGTAGCTGGGAGGAACAAACTGTAGAACCCACGCTTTTTAAGGGGTTCTCTCTGTGCTAGGCTCTGGGTTAAGGTCCCCAGAACAGCAACTGCATCGGCATTGGTCACTGAATGTAGCAAGACCCTGCCTCTGGAGTCAGATGGGTTCAAACCCCAGGCCCACCACTTCCTCTACTGTAACTGCGGGCAGATCCCCCAGCTCTCTGTCCCGATGTTGAGCCATTGTTGCTCTTATTGCCTGAACAGTAGTGTCCGCTTCGGAGGACAACACTGGATTGTGCATGTACAGCTCTAGGCCTAGCTTAGTACCTGCCCAACACCTGATCCCCAAACACACACTCACCTGTCCGATGTGGCACTGAAGCCCAGAGAGGTTCATTGATTTGCCCAGGGTCACACAGCCGTTCAGTGCTGGAGCCAGGATTCATAGCCAGGCTGTCTCTCCACTCCACACTGGCTCCTCCAGAGCCTAGAGCGGGCATTTGTGTCGCTTGATGATTAAGGGATGAGTCTGACCAAACGGCAAGGGACGTTCCATTGTCTGGGCACTGAGGGGATGAAGTTTGGGGGGTCAGGGGTGGGAGGGTCGTCTAGGAGAAGAAAAGGGAGAGGAGCACCTGTAACCAGGGGCAGACCCTGTCTCTGAGCATCCCCCCTCAAAAAAGACAGTCTCCCTGCACACGTTTGGAGGCTGTTTGGGGGGCAGGAATTCCTGAGGCTGCCGTGGGAAACAATACCAGCAGATGGGACTGCCCCTGCGGGGAAGCCTCGCCTCATTTGCCAGACAATGGTCCCTTCCAGGCCGGCCAGGGCCTGTGTCGCAGAAGCCATCCATCACCTACCAAGGACTGAGGAGGGGCACACGCTGGCACAGATGCACAAGTGCAACCCCCCTCCCCCCCAGGATGACCAGCTACCGCCTATCGCGCCCTCACTGGGTAACACTGACTTCATGTACCTTTACTTCCTCTCATCCTCACATCCGTGGGACGTGAGGCTCAGAGAGGTTAGGTGACTTGCCCAAGGTCACACAGCTCTTTGTGCTCTGCTGGGCGGGGCTCTCCCAGGACTCCGCTTAACGGGTTTGGGCTGACACCTGTGTGTTCAGATCAGTAACGGTTATGCCTGTGCCTCAGCCCTTCCCTGGACCTGTGGCCGCACTGCCAGGTCAGAGGGGACACCTGAGGGCAGCCACTGCGTCTCTGCCCAAAGATTAGATGCTCCGTCCAGCAGCGAGTGTTTTCCCCAGGTCCTGGCCGGAACGGTGCCGCTCCTCGCAGACTGGGAGGTCCCTGCGGGCAGCGGATGGCACTCAGCCTCTGGCACGGGGCGTGGGCTGCCTTTCCTGCTTGAACAGAGTGCCCTGCAGGCCCGATCGGTGCCTCCGGTCAGAGAGTGCTCCAGGACGAGAGCCGGATGGCCCCTGTCACACTGGACCTCCCATAACTCTGGCCCGTCTCCCCCTTCGGACTGGAGCCCGTTCCCATGCACGGCACCCAGAGAGGCTCGGCAAGGGGTGCCCACCTGGCCCCGCCTCCCCAGAGGCGGAGTCTTTTGCGTGAGGCCAGGTTGGCACAATGGCCTCTGGCTGTCCTGAGGCCTAGAGGGAGGCCCCTTCCTGTGGTCAGGTGGCACTTTGGGGGTGCAGAGCTGCAGGGAGGCAGGAGATGGGTAGGGACTAGCTCAGGGCGGTCAAGAACCCCCTCTCTCCTCCCCTCCTCCCCCCCACAGCCAAGGAGCACCCCCGGGGGCGCCTGATTAGAGTCCCACCCACCCCACCAGCGAGCTGTCTTCTCTGCCTTCCAGCTCCCTTCCCCTTGCTGGGCCCATGCTTACCCAGAACCACACACCCGCCAGGACTGGCTTCCCACATGGCCAGATCTCAGACAGGCTAACTCCTTCCACAGACAGGAAATGGACTCTCAGAGAAGGGGTGGTGGGAGAAAGCATGGGAGACGTTATAGGGACAGTCTTATCCCAAATCGCTAACCTTGGTAGGAGCCCAGTCCCTGAATTTAGGACCCACCCACCCATCCCCCACTCGTGCGACTATAACTACTTCCCTTGAACAAGCAGAAGTGCCCATTTTCCAGCTAGAGAAGAGCCGGCTCCCCCGAAAGAAGACAGGAATCTGCTCCCCGGGGGGCAGAAACTCTGAGATCCTCACCTGGCGATCCTGCGCTGGTCACCGGAGGGAGCACATCGCAGCAGCTCGGCGTTTAGGGTCAGGCACAGGGAGAGAGGTGGACAGAGCAAGGCAGGGCACCTCCAAGAGTGAGTGTGGCTCTGGCATGGTGGTTATCATGTAGCGCACATGTGTCAAACACAAGGCCCGCGGGCCAAATCCGTCCCGCCAGGCCTTGCAATGTGGCCCGCACCGCGCTGTCATCACTGCACTCCGCTGCGTTTCCATCACAATGACAGTTTATGACTGTTCAGTAAACCATTCGGCCCGCGATTTAGGCTGGATTTTAGATTTTGGCCCCTTCTCTGATTGAGTTCGACACCCCTAATGTAGCGGGACCCCCTGGGCCAGCCCTGTCCCCACCCCCCAACTACCACCTGATTCTCCCCCAACCCACCAGGCAGCTGGTGAGCTGATCAGCAAGGCAAGAAGGTGGGGCCCTGATCCAACCCATAGCTCAGTGGTTAGAGTAGGGGTGTCGAACTCAATCAGAGAAGGGGCCAAAATCTAAAATCCAGCCTAAATCGCGGGCCGAATGGTTTACTGAACAGTCATAAACTGTCATTGTGATGGAAACGCAGCGGAGTGCAGTGATGACAGCGCGGTGCGGGCCACATTGCAAGGCCTGGCGGGATGGATTTGGCCCGCGGGCCTTGTGTTTGACACATGTGGAGAGCATGGCCCCGAGGACTGAAGGGTTCTGGGTTCATCTCCAGTCAAGGGCACATACCTCAGTTGCAGGCTCAATCCCCAGTGGGAGGCAACCAATTAGTCTGTCTCTCTCACATAGGTGTTTCTCTCTCTGTCTCTCCCCCTCCCTTCCGCTCTTTCTGAAACTTAATGGAAAAATATCCTTGGGTGAGGATTAACCAAAAAAACAAAAGGAGAAGGCAGGGCCTTCAGCTGTCCTGGACTGCTGGTGGCAGCCCAGCTCCACAGTTGTCAGCCGGGCTGCTGGAGCCCCCCTGCCTCCTGGCCCCCAAATGCAAGCTGTTGGGGGGAGGGGCTCAGGACTCAAAGCCCACTCCAGGCTGGATTAACTGCCTTCATTTGCATGTGATGCTGCCTCCTGGCAGCCTTCTGCATGGAAACAGCTTTGCACACAGATAAGCCCCTCTCCCCTCCGCGGTCAGTTTCCCCTTCCCAGCTGCCGGAGCCTGCTGGGTCCTGACTGCTCTCACGGAGATGACAGATGTGGGGGAGAGGGGGGCAGGTGACCCCCAATGCTGAGCAGGGAGCAGGGGCGGATGATGGAGGGCAGGGCTGCCCCCGTGCAGAGAACCCAGGCCTTGAGTGGCTTGCCATTCACCCGTCCTGTCATCTTGGATTTGTGGCTTCCCTTCCCAGAGCCTCGGCTTCCTCACTTCGTTTCATTTTCAAATACATTTTTATTGATTTCAGAGAGAAAGGGAGAGGGAGAGAAACATCAATGATGAGAGAGAATCATTGATGGGCTGCCTCCTGCACACACACCCCGCCCCCCCCCCACACACACACAATGGGGATCGAGCCCACAACTCGGCACATGCCCTGACCAGGAATCAAACCGTGACCTCCTGGTTCAGAGGCCAACACTCAACCACTGAGCCACACCGGCCGGGCTTGGGTTCCTCATTTTAAAAATGCGAGTGGGATGCGATAAGAAATGGACGGAGTACGCCCGTAGCCCCCTGGGCCTCGCAGCTGCTCTGGAGCGAAGGCTGCTGTGCCCGCGATCGCTTTTGTTTTCTTCGCGTGTAATGAGCCGCTATGGGGTCTCAGCTGTGAGCGCGCCACCCCCATGTTCCTGGACAGCTCTGGTCAGGGCGACTCCTGAAGAGCTGGCTTTGTGAGCAACCGCAGCAGCAGATCCTCGGCTGGCGGAGGCGGGGGGCGGGGGAGCAGAGGGGGGATGCCTGCTGCCCCTTTTTGCCTGAATGCCTGGCACTTTGTATGCAGCCTCCCACTGGCTTCCAGGGCAACAGAAATGGCTCGGAGCCCTTCCCCGCTGTGGATCCTTGGCACGGCATCGGGAGCAGCCCACGCTTCCCGGGTGGCTCGCCGCCAGGCTGGCATCGTGGCTGCCGGGCTGTGCCAAGATCTGCGTGCAAGCCCCGTGGGCTGGGGAGAGAGTTCCAAGCGGTTGTCAGGACAAAGTGGTGCTAGGTCCCCCAGCCGTCACAGCAACCCCCCGCCGCTCCTCTCCCCCCCACACACACACACACCCTGGAATATATTTATGATTCTGTGCTCAGGTTCGATTGTGCTCAACCCTCTTTCATTTCTGCCCGTAGTTATCAATGCCTGTTATTTGCAGCGTCCATAGGAACAGTGGGACAGATCCCCCTGGGATAAGGTGACCAGGCATCCCACATTGTGCTGCTGTGAACATAGGGGTGCATTCTTTCTGAATGGTGTTTTGGGATAACACTGCCCAGTTTTGCCCACCCCAAATGTCTGCAGACATTGCCAAATACCCCCTGGGGGCAAAGGCCCCTCTGTTCCTGTGGAGAAGTCCGGAGCTGCAGGGAGGTAAGGGAGGGGAGTGGGGAGTGGAGGAGGAGGGCTGCCCAGCTGCCCCCTCAAATGCTGCTTCTCTTGCAGGAGGAGCCATGGCCGGGCCCACTGCCCACGTGGCCCCCATGCTGTTCCTTGCCCTCCTGGCGCTTCTGGAGCTGAGCCTGGTGGGCTCCCTAGGCCCCGGAAGCCCCGCTCGAAGCCTCCCTGAGAATCACATCAGCCTCCCGGGCCCGGCCCTGCGGACGCCTCCGGCCAGCCACCACCCCCGGCGGGGCCTGGGCAAGAAGGAGCGGGGGCCGGGCATGCCTGGCCGGGCCCAGGATGGCGCTGCCGTCACCTCCACCAGGCAGGCCTCCAGGCTGCCCGGGGCAGGGGGCCCGCTGCAGGACAAGAGTCTGCTCCTGGGGCTGGCCCTGCCCCACCCTGAGCAGGAGAGCCGGTCTCCGGGGAAGAGACGCAGCAGGGAGCACAGGAGACGCAGGGAGAGGTTGAAGCTGCACAGAGGTAGCTGGACATCTGGGACGGGGTGGGGTCTGGAGATGGGAGTGGAGGGCGGAGCGGGGGGCGGAGATGGCTTTAGGAGCCAGCCCGGAGGGAGGGTCAGTGGGGTAAGGTCACTGGGGGGACATCCAGAGGCCCCAGAGGAGGCGGGCAATGGGCGCCCAGCGGCGTGAGGGGGTCTCACTAAAGTCAGAGGGACCTGGCAAGGGGGGGACCTGGGAGAGGCAGGGAGGGACGTGGGGCCACAGACGCTCCGTCTTATCTGTGGATAATCCTCCCACTTCAGAGTTTGACTTTGTGTCGGACCTGAATGTACTGATGAGCCAGGGACCAGTGCAGTGTCCTCTGAGGTCACCACCATCACCTCCGAGGCACAGAGCAGGGCTGAGAGCATAGATTCTGAAGCCAGAGCCTGCCCAGGTTACTAGCTGGCTGAGTCACTGTGCCTCAGTTTCTCCCTCTGCAAAATGGGGAGAAGGGCCCCATCGAGCCTCGGCGGAGGCCCAGAGACCGCAGATGGGCGGAGTGCTTGCAGTGGTGGCTGGCGAGCGGCAGGGACGGGGAGCAGGTGTTGCCGGTTGATGCTCAGTGTTTTCTTGATGCTGATCCAGTGTCCTCCAACCTGGACGTGGAGGTCCCAGGGAGGCGTGGCACCCCTATCCCTCCCGCCTCTGCCCTGCCTGTTCCTGCGGTGCTCCTCTCCCCTCAGCCCTCCGCACCTCCCTTCACAGCCCCGAGTCCCTGTGGACATCCAGCTGCCGCTGTTCCCGCGCCCCCTCCTGTGGCCCATTCTGTCTCCCAATAAGCATTTCCCAGCAGCTGCACTCAGCTGGCTCCTCCCCTGGTCCACCTGCCTCCAGCTTCCAGCCTCTTCCTGTGACAAGACCGCCTCTAGGGGCAGGGCTCCCCCTGCAGACAGGGAGGGGGAGGGATTCAGCCTCAGCCCCGCCTCCCCCTGCAAACAGCTGGGGCTTGCTTTCCTGCCCAGCCTACTGGGACCCCCCCCCCCCCCCCACACACACACACACACGGACAGAACACAGTCGGCAGGTGCATGTGTGGCAGTGTCGGGGGTGGAGGGGGGCACCTTAGATTCTCAGCCCCCTACTCCCGGATGCTGGCATGCTTGAGGGACAAGCCAGAGAGCACACATGGGATGTGGATCCATTCAGCTCAGCTCCAGCCCCCAGCTCCAGGGGACCGGTGGAACCCTCCTAAGAGAGCGAGTGACATGGCTCAGTGGTTGAGCATCAACCTGTGAACCAGGAGGTCACGGTTCGACTCCCTGTCAGAGCACACGCCCGGGGTTGCAGGCTTGATCCCCAGTGTGGGGGGCGTGCAGGAGGCAGCCGATCAATGGTTCTCTCTCATCATTGATGTTTCTCTCTCCTTCTCCTTTCCTCTCTGAAATCAATAAAAATATTTTTAAAAATATATTTTATTGATTTTGTACAGAGAGGAAGGGAGAGAGATAGAGAGTTAGAAACATCGATGAGAGAGAGTCATCGATCAGCTGCCTCTTGCACACCCCCTACTGGGGATATGCCCACAACCAAGGTACATGCCCTTGACCGGAATCGAACCCAGGACCCTTCAGTCCCCAAGCCGACGCTCTATCCATTGAGCCAAACCGGTCTCGGCAATAAAAATATTTTTATAAAGAGAGAGAGAAAGAGGAGGAGAGGGCATGGGAGCTGTGAAGTCTGGGAAACGAAAGAACAGATTCGATGGCCCCTCAGTGGCCTTTCCACTCTCCGGGGTTCATTTCTGGAGAGCGGGGTGATCCCCCCAACCCAGCCAGCCTTAAAGCCAGCTCTTCCCTGAGACTAAGAGGCAGGGACGAGCCCGGGCCTCCAGCTTCTCTCAAAGCCCATGTTCCTGACCACCCCGACCCTGCCTGGTCCCACCCATCCTGCCTCAGGCCCATGTGTCTTGGAAGGCGGCGTTGGTGGTTAAAAGTAATGATTTTATACTCAGGTGGAGCTGGGTTCGAATTCAAACTTCAGCATTTACCAGCTGTGTGCCCACGGGGAAGTCTCTGAACCTCTCTGTGCTTCCGTTTCCTCTCTCGTGGATGAGTGACCGAGTACCTACCTCCCAGAGCTCCTGCAGAGCTCACGAAATAGCGCTAGTCCCGCAGGGCGGGGCGGGCACACACCAGGGTCCTCACACACAGCAGGCACCCGGCAGACAGCGCTGGTCATCACCGCATAGCTGGCATTCCCACGTGTGTGATGGGCCTCCGCTCTCACCGTCCAGACTTCTCAGAGGCCCCCACCTGCAACGCCTCTCAGCCTTCGCTCGCTGCTCCTCTACTTAAGCTTGACCTCCTCCAGGGAGACTTCCGTGTGAATTTTTTTATTTTTATGTTTTATTGATTTTTTACAGAGAGGAAGAGAGAGGGATAGAGAGAGTTAGAAACATCGATGAGAGAGAATCATCGATCGGCTGCCTCTTGCACACCTCCTACTGGGGATGTGCCCGCAACCAAGGTACATGCCCTTGACCGGAATCGAATCTGGGACCCTTGAGTCCACAGGCTGACGCTCTGTCCGCTGAGCCAAACAGGTTAGGGCCATGTGAATCTTCTTAGTTCCCATTTGTTGTACTTTCACCCTGGGCTGCACCCGCCATTCCAGGCGTGGGCTTATTATAATGTGGCTTTAGATTGAGAATCCTTGTGCTGTCTCCCCAGCAACACTGCGCGTTCACCCCAGACATTCCCCCCTCCCCAGGCCCCGGTTTCCACCGTCCCGGGAGAGTGGGCAGCAGGGATGTTGGGGAGCCAGGCTGTCAGACGTGTCACGTGATGCCTCCACCCCCTTGTGTGCGGAAGGAAATGTGGGTTCTGCTTCGGGCCGGTGAGGGGTGGCGAGCAGACAGAGGCCCCGTGTTTCCTATTCTGTCCCTCAGGCCGAGCCGTGGTCCGAGGCCCCAGCTCCCTGATGAAGAAGGCGGAGCTCCCCGAAGACCAGGCGCTGGACGCTGCCATGGAGGAGTCGTCCACTAGCCTGGCCCCTACCCTACTCTACCTCAGCACCTCGGAGGCAGCGCCTGCCACGGAGGAGCCCCTGATCCTGCCCGTCCCATCCCTGTGGCCCCAGGTGAGGCCTCGGATCCTGGGCGTCCTGGAGAACCACGTCGTGCAGATCCCTCTTAGTCACTTAGGCAGACTGAGGCACGGGGGTGGGAGGGAGAACTTTGGTGGAGGCCCCTGGGGTGAGCTGGAAACCAGGTCTCCTGGTGGCCCGTCCAGTAAGGTGACCAGACGTCCCGCTTTTGGCGAGACAGTCCCAATTTTCAACAATTTGTCCCACGTACTGCGGCGTTTTAAAAATGTCCCGATTGCCGAAACTGGTTTGGCTCAATGGATAGAGCATCGGCTTGGGGACTGAAGGGTCCCGGGTTCGATTCCGGTCAAGGGCATGTACCTTGGTTGCGGGCACATCCCCAGTAGGGGGTGTGCAAGAGGCAGCTGATCCATGACTCTCTCTCATCGATGTTTCTAACTCTCTATCTCTCTCCCTTCCTCTCTGTACAAAATCAATAAAATATATTTAAAAATAAATATACAATAAATAAAATAAAAATATCCCGATTTTTGGAAAGAATCTTTCAAAAAATTGGGACTTTTTAAAAACGCCGCAGTACGTGGGACAAATTGTTAAAAATCGGGACTGTCCCGCCAAAAGCGGGACGTCTGGTCACTTTACTGTCCAGCCCAGTGGGCACTCTGTCCTGGAGAAAGGGGTCCTGGGGGCTCACGCTGGGGACAGCCAAGGAGGCCAGCGCCTGCTCAGCACCCTGGTCTGTGCGTGGAGAAGAGCGAGGCCTGTGGCAAAGCGTTTCATGCATAAAGGAAAGTACAGAGAAGAACGACACAGCACAAAGCCCCGCCCCCACAGCCCGGAGCTGACAAGCGTTAGTTAGCACACCTGCTTCAGACCTTCAGGAAGATGTGTGGAGGGAGCAGGCAGCACCTCGGCCTGTGTGCTTCCGCTGGCAAACACGCCGGGAACCCGCGAGTTCATGGCGTCAGCCCTGCAATTAACACAACGCGCCTCATTGCACCTCTTGTGTCGCTTTGCAGTGTTTTTCAAAATAGTATCACCTAGCCCTCGCCCGTTTGGCTCTGCGGACTGAAGGGTCCTGGGTTTGATTCCGGTCAGGGGCACATGTCTCGGTTGCAGGCTCGATCCCCAGTAGGGGATGTGCAGAAGACAGCTGATCAGAGATTCTCTCTCATCATTGATATTTTTATATATTATATATTTTATATATTCTCTCCCTCTCCCTTCCTCTCTGAAATCAATAAAAATATATCTAAAACGATCAATAACATCAATAAGTAGAAGGAGAAAAAACTTTACTTTTTAGCAGATCTTTCTTATCCTCTTTTGGGGTCTTGCACCCCCTGAGATTCTGAAAAAAGCTATTTTTAAAAAATATGTATTTTATTGACTTTGTACAGAGAGGAAGGGAGATAGAGAGTTAGAAACATCGATGAGAGAGAGTCATGGATCAGCTGCCTCTTGCACACCCCCTACTGGGGATGTGCCCACAACCAAGGTACATGCCCTTGACCGGAATTGAACCCGGGACCCTTCAGTCCCCAAGCCGACGCTCTATCCATTGAGCCAAACCGGTTTCGGCTGAGAAAAGCTATTTTTTAAAATATGTCCCCAGGCTGGGCTTCTGGCAGAGGGTGAGCTGCCTCTGAGGAGCCCTCCCTTGCCCTCTGGCCCTGGGGCCCCACATTTCCGCTGCCTCCTCTGCACCCGCCTTCCGCAGGCCCAGCCCCGGCCTGAGGGGGAGGTGATGCCCACGCTGGACATGGCCTTGTTCGACTGGACCGATTACGAGGACTTAAAGCCCGAGGCCTGGCCCTCCGCCAGAAAGAAAGGTACGTCCAACCCCCAACCGGCGGGGCTCAGTGGCCGAGCATCGACCTGTGACCTAGGAGATCAGGGTTCGATTCCCAGTCAGGGCACATGCCCAGTAGGGGATGTGCAGGAGGCAGCTGATCAATGATGCTCTCTCATCATTGATGTTTCTTTCTCTCTCTCCCTCTCCCTTTTTCTCTGAAATGAATAAAAATGTAAAAAAGTGAAACAATTTAAAAAATCTTAAATAAAAAACAAAAACGTCCACCTGCCCACCACCCTGTGCCTGGGTTCCCTTCCCTCCCCCAGCCTGACCTCAGATGTCCGAAGTGGGGGGTGGGCGGGGCACGGAGTCCACACTGCGATGCACACCCCACATGGAAATACCACTATGGAGACCTTACCACGTGCCAGCTCATTCCACGTATCAACTCATTTCACCCTAAAACACACACACACACACACACACACACACACACACACACACACAAAAACAAATGTGAGGTCTGTCCTATCCATGAGCCCGTTTTGGAAAAGAGATGGCGGAGGGGCGTCCCGCCACTCTGACACCAGCATCCGTGTGCCTGCTCTCTGCCCCGCTGGGCAGCTTGTGACCATGATCTTCCTGTCCCCAGAGAAGGCCCAGGGTAAACTCTCTGGTGATGGCAACGAGACGTCCCCAGCCGAAGGGGAGCCGTGCGACCATCACCACGACTGCCTGCCAGGTACCGAACCGGCGTCACATTCAAGGCACCGGGCTGGGCGCTGGGTGCTGGGCACTGGGTGCTAGGTGCTGGGCACTGGGTGCTGGGTGCTGGGGCCTGAGGTGGGTGAGGTGGGCCTTCTCAGGCACAGGTGGGGGCCTGTGGGTTCAGGACCCTCTCGGGGTCATAAGTAGCAACAACTCCAGCTACCCTCCACGGAGAGTTGCTGGGACCCTTGACTTCATCCTCAGAACAACCCGGGGAGAGAGACCCTGTCACCCCCAATTTTCAGGCAAAGAAAATGGGCCTCAGAGGGTGAGTCTCAGCCAAGGTCACACAGCTAGGAGGGAGCTCAACTCTGAGTCCGCCGGAGGAACCACTGCTCTTCTCCACTTCCTCCCGAAGGCGGGTCAGCCTTATGCTGCCCTCGGCCCCTCACGACGCTGCCCGGCTTTTTGTGGCTGTTCCCATGGCATCCTCGCCCCGTCCGGCAGCTCTGCCCATCACGACGGAAAGCGAGGGGCTGGTGTTCTGACTGGCACCCTCACCTCCAGGGGCATCTCCTGAGGTGGAGTGAGATATGTAGTGGGTTGGGGGGTAAGGTCTCGGGGAGAAGAGGGGGAGGAGCAGGAATGGCAGGGAAACCTAGGATGCAGTCTTGGCCCGGCCCTGTTACATCCCCCGCCGGCCCTCCCACCCCTCCACCCCTCCGCCATTGCTGGGACTGCTCAGGAGATAGCGTGACATGGGCCCAGGGTGACATCCTGAAGACTAAGGTGACCAGACGTCCCGCTTTGGGCGGGATAGTCCCGATATTTTATTTTTTACATTTTTTTATTAAATTATTATCTGAGTACATATTTTAACATTCCCCCCCCCTCCCATACATACCCTCCCTCCCCAGAGTTTTGTGTCCATTGGTTGTACTTATATGCATGTATACAAGTCCTTCGGTTAATCTATTATCTCCCCCAGATCTCCCTACCCTCCCCGCTGTAATTTGACAGTCTGCTTGTTGCTTTTCTGTCTTTATATCTATCTTTTGGTTCATCAGTGACAGTCCCGATTTCTAACAATTTGTCCGGCGTCCCGCGGCGTTTTTAAAAAGTCCCTGAAGACGCTGACAGCTAACTTCCCTCCTCACTGCTGGCAGCACATGCCCCCTGGATCTTGGAGGGAGATCCCAGCAATACACCCCCAGGGGGACACATTGCTCGGTCAGCGGCTGGAAGAGTCTGCAAAAAGAGTCAGCATGTGGCGTTATGTGGGCCCGACCCCCAGCTCCCGGACAGGCAGTGTGCTTCCCAAACCACTGTTTTCACCGCGGGAAGAAAAGGCTGGGGTTTGGGCCAACAACGGGGCAGCCCTCGGAGAGGGGGCCCCAGGGAGGGCGGGGCCGGCCCTGGGCCTGCCTTGGGGGATCTCGCTGCTCCCCGGGGGGCTTCCGTGTCTCCATCTGTCCAAAGAGGACGTTGGTGTCCATGACCCTAGAGGCTCCCCCAGCTCCACGCCACCGACCCCACACCTGGCCGGCCCCAGCTGTCCTGCCCGCCCCCAGCTGTCCTGCCCGCTGTCCCCGGGAGGTGATCCCCGATGCTCTGCTCCCCCCGAGATCCATCCATTGTCCGTCCAGGGCAGCCGGGTCACTGCCATCCGCCCACAGGGCCCTCGGCCGTGACAGCCATCAGCGGTTCCGGCTGGGAGCCTTGCAGGCCAGATGGCCCCACCCTGCCAGGGCATGGCTCTGCGGCAGTGACGATGGACCTCCTGTCTGGGGGACCGTGTGCCGGGCGTGGGGGTGGGGGGGTGAGGGTCCACTTGGCCTGGCTGACCACGTGTGCTTGCTGTTGGCAGGGACCTGCTGTGACCTGCGGGGGCACCTCTGCACGCCCCACAACCGGGGCCTCAACAACAAGTGCTTCGACGACTGCATGTGTGCGGAAGGTGAGCCTGGACCGCCCCTCCCAGGAGGCGGGGGGAGAGGGGGGGGCTTCCCTCTTGCTCCGAAGCTGGTTCTGCTGGGATCCGGGACAGGATTTCCTGGCAGAGGTGGCCCGAGGGGCTGCAGTGGGAGAATCCCCAGGGAGCCGCCGCCGTGAGCAGGGAAAGCGTTGCTGGGTGCCTTCCCAATCTGAGAACTCATTTAGTCTCCATGCCTGGTGTCGTTTCTCCGACTTGCTTTTCTCCCCTCTCAAAATACAAGCTGGCTGCTCCCGTGATGGGGAGGTGAGAGGAGAGAGGAGACCAGCTCTTTAAAGAAGATCAAATGCGAGAAGGCTGGCGCTTTCAGGCTGGAACTCTACCCCAGGGGAGGCGTTCCAAGTGTGATAGCAGGCGGGGGGGGGGGGGGGGGGGGGGGGGGAGGGGTTCCCATGCACTGGGCCGGCGGCTACAGCTTTAACCTCAGAGCGCCCGCCTGGAGCGGCAGGTGCCCTCCTGCCAGGGCGGCCTGGGCTCTGCGCTTAGCACTTGGCTCACATTATCCTCCTTACCCTCCTTCATCCTGGATCCTCCCTCTTCTTCTTCTTCTTCTTTTTTTTTTAAATATATTTTATTGATTTTTCACAGAGAGGAAGAGAGAGGGATAGAGAGTTAGAAACATCGATGAGAGAGAATCATCGATCAGCTGCCTCTTGCACACCCCCTACTGGGGATGCACCCGCAACCAAGGTACACGCCCTTGACCGGAATCGAACCCGGGACCTTTCAGTTCCCAGGCCGACACTCTATCCACTGAGCCAAACCAGTCCCGGCGGATCCTCCCTCTTCTTAACCCTCACAGCCATCCAGGGAGGGAGCGGTTACAACCTCCATTTTACACATCAGCACACGGAGGCACAGAGAGGTTCAGGGACTTGCCCAAACTCACACAGCTAGGACAGGAGGAGAATGTTTTTAATTTTGTATTCTGACATTTTTCAAACATGTGCAGTCACCAGAACAGTAGTCACTATAACAATGAACCCCAGTTTCCCATCCCCCAGCTTCATAATTGCCAATTTGCCCTGGCTGATTTGGCTCAGTGGATATAGCATCAGCCTGAAGGGTCCTGGGTTTGATTCCGGTCAAGGGCATGTGCCTTGGTTGCGGGCACGTCCCCAGTAGGGGGTATACAGGAGGCAGCTGATCGATTTTTCTCTCATCTAGCTCTCTATCCCTCTCCCTTCCTCTCTGTAAAAAAAAAAAATCAATAAGATATATTTTTTAAGAAAAAAAAATCACTTTTTTTTTTTTTTAGTCTCCTCTCTCCTCCCTTCTCCCGCCTCCCTATCACTGCCAATCTGTGTTGTCTCTCCCCCCGCCCCCCAATTCCAATATAATTTTGATGCAACTCCTGGGAGTTGAGAGAGATTTTATCTGTGAATATTTCAGTGTATATCTCTGCAAGATAAGCACTCTCATAGGAACAAAATACCGAAAATGAACGATAATTACTCAGTATCATTCAGCATCCAATTGGTGTCCGTATCTCCTGGGTGGGAGAGTTTGGTCTCAGTGCCTCTGTTGACCGTCCTCCGATACATGCCCCATTTCTGCTCACATCAGGCTAACCGTTATCTGCTGTGAAAGCAGTAACACGATGTGCGTCCCGTTATCCGTGCAGCCACACATTCGGGAGGTAGTTACTGAGCACCTGCCGTGCGTCTGGTGCTGCTCTGGACGCTGGACTCAGCAGCTCAGAGGGGGGCAAGTCCTGCAGCCACAGAGCCCATCCCAGGGAGAAAGCACCTTCTCTCCCCGCCCAGGGAGACGGGCGCCTTTGGAAGCAGTAAAGGCTGTGAGGAAAATAGTCCGGGGGTCCGCTGAAAAGGAGGACATTGGGTTGTTACAGAAACGAGGGAGCAGGAGTGGACAGTGGGCCCAGCCACCTGAAGAGGGCGGCTGTCGGGGAGAATGTCCAGGCGAGAGGCAGGGGGCCGGACCGGCCGGGGCCTCGGAGAGGAGCTGGGCGGGTGTGCTGACTGGGCCCCCGGTGGCCACGAGGAAGGTGGCACGTGGGAGGTGGGGGAGGCTTGTGGGAGGACCGAGCAGGACCTTGTTGGCCTTGTTTGATTTCTGATGGGAAGTTGCAGGCAGATTGTCACTGGGGGAGGGACATGGTCTGGCTATGGGCTTAACAGTTTACTATGGCTGTAGGGGGCAGGAATGGAGACAGGAAGGCCCAGCTGGGAGGGGGGAGGGGGAGGAGGCAGCAGGAGTGGAAGATGGGGGATGCTGGGAAGCTGCCTTTGGTTCTTGTGTGCAGGGCGAAGGCCCCATGTCACAGAGGAGCAGACTGAGGTGCCGAGTGGGCAGGAGGCACTCCGGTCCAGGGAGCCAGAGCAGCGTTGGGGTCAAACCGCAGTCCTTGGCCTCCAGGTCCAGCCCCCCTAGGTGAGGGGGATGGCCCTGCTGAGCTGCACATGTCCAGTTGGTGCCTGGCTGGATGCTCAATGGTGGCCCCTCTGCCCAGGAATCAATCCTCCCTCCCTCCCTCTCTTCCTTCCCTCCTTCCTTCCTTATTTCCCTGTTCCCTCCTTCCCTCCTCTCTCTCCCTCCCTCCTTCCATTCCTTCCTTCCTTCCATCCCTCCCTTCCTTATTTTCCCCTTCCTCTCTCCCTCCCTCCTGGGCCTCAGGTGGGAGGGAACAGCGTCCAAAGGCTGTGTCTGCAAACAAAGCCCCATCTGCTCCTTCCGCTGGTCCCTCACACTGGTCGGCTCCCTCAAAAGTCTTGCTTCCTCCCTGGAGACTGAGGCTCAGAAAAATGAGGCGTGGAAGTGACAGTTCAGGCAGCTCATTCACGATGGTCCAGGAAGAGGCTGTCACCAGGATGCCACACCAGAGAGATCTAGAAGGGGCCAGGCACCTCATGGGGACCATATCCCAAAACGGCAGACACAGTGTACCCTGACCAGGACCAAACCTGAGACCGTTCGGTGTGCAGGACGATGCTCTAACTAACCGAGCCACCCGGCCAGGGCTTAATCGACTTTTTTAGAGCATTTTTGGGTTTACAGAAAAATTGTGCAGGAAATACAGAGTTCTCCTCCTACAGTTCCCTCTATTATTATCTCCCGTTAGCGCGGCACTCTTTCCACAAGTGAATAGCTCATCTTGATACGTTGTTATTATTATTTTCAAGAAGAGCAGTTTGTTTTATATCTGTTGCTTCTAAAAAGGGAGAGAGAAGCATTGATTTGTTCATTATTTATGCATTCATTGTTTGATTCTTGCATGTGCCCTGGCCAAGGATTGAAACCAAAACCTTGGTGCTCTAACCCAGTGGTCGGCAAACTCATTAGTCAGCAGAGCCAAATATCAACAGAACAATGATTGAAATTTCTTTTGAGAGCCGAATTTCTTAAACTTAAACTATATAGGGAGGTACATTGCTATTAACATCATTAGGCTACTCCTAAGCTGGCCTTTGCTAAAAACTCGAGGGGCCAAAGAGCCGCATGTGGCTCGCGAGCCGCAGTTTGCCGACCACTGCTCTAACCAACTGAGCTACCAGTCAGGGTGATGCATTATTATTGTTAACTGAGGTCCACTGTATACATTAGGCTCTGCTCTTCGTGCTGTACCTCCTGTGGTTTGTGATGAATGCATGCTGACAGGCACCCACCATTACCGCGTCACACAGAACAGTTCCTGGACCTCCATGAACTGTGCTCCATCTGTTCACCCCTCCCTGCCTCCGCATGCAGGCTGTGTGGCTGGGTGGGTTGGTTGTAGGGCAGAATGAAGAAGGGGCTGGTGATGAGAGGGCGCAGGGTCCCAGAGGGTGTGCAGGGGAGAGCATGGGGAGAGGACTGGCCCCGTGCACCCCTGACCCCCTTGCCTCTCTGCTCAGGGCTGCGCTGCTACGCCAAGTTCCACCGGAACCGCAGGGTCACCCGGAGGAAGGGGCGCTGTGTGGAGCCCGAGAGGGCCAACGGCGACCAGGGCTCCTTCATCAACGTCTAGTGGCCCCGGCGGAGGCGCCTCCCGCAGGCCTGGGGACACCCAGCGCTGGAGGTTTGGAGGAGCGACAGTTTGTTTGTAACTGGCAGCGGGAGAGCACACGGAGACCAGATGTCTGAGGCTGCAGGCTCGGACCCAGGACCCCATCCAGGAGCTGCAGCCCCAGGAGGGAGCGCTGGGGATCTGCCTCTGCCCTGGAGCCAGCAGCCCGTCTGCACCCACAGCCCTGGGGGACCCGCAGGGCTGAGCAACCGCCATGGCAATGTCGATAGTGCCCTCTACCGTCCGCCCGCAGCACTGCAGCAGCCTCACGTTGTAAAAGTGAAGAGGTTTTAGCCATGGAAACTCCCTGAGACAGGGCGCTCAGGGGCAGGAGATGTACCTCTTATGCGCTAAATGCGCAACATTCGTGCTAAATGCGAGACATACGTCATCCCATGATCTTTTCACCGTTTACAGATGAGGAAACAGAGCCACCGCTGAGCCGTCTGGCCTGCCCAAGGTCCCGGATCAGTGCTCCTCCAACCTTTTAACCTGTGCACCAGTCCTCTGGGGTCTGGTGCAAGTTCAGATTCCTGTTCAGTTGAATCTGCCTTTCCTACAAGCCCAGGGCCTGCCCACGCTGCTGCTCCCGCCCCCCGGCCCCCGGGCCCCAACCACGTCTTGGGGAGCAGATGTGGAGTTGTGATCAGAACGTGGCCCAACGCCGTGGGGCTCCCTAGCCCATATTCTTGCTCCTTCACGACTGAGAACTCACTGTGGGCTCTCCAGGGCTCTCAGCCAGAGGCGTGTTCCTGCTAGTCCCCTCTCTGGGCGAAGCTGCGGTGGCTGACTGCTCCCCTCCCTCCCTGGACAAACGGGCACCATCTTGGAAACAGAACCAAATCCACACTTGGCACCTGCTTGTCTGTACGGCGTGATTGGGGCTGATGGGCCCCTGTCCCCCGGGAGCTGGGACAGGCTCCTGCTTACCCAGTCCTGGGACACGTGCCTCGGAGTTGCCCGGCACCTTCCACTCCTGGGGTTCTTTAGCTTTTCTTTTTTGCTTTTTTTTTTTTAATAATATATTTTTACTGATTCCAGAGGGGCAGGGAGAGGGAGAGAGAGAAATATCAGTGATGAGAGAGACTCATGGCTGGGCTGCCTCCTGTACACTCCCTTTTGGGGATGAGCCCACAAGCCGGGTATGAGTCGGACCAGGAATCAAACCGTGACCTCCTGGTTCATAGGCTGATGCTCAGTCACTGAGCCACACCAGCCAGGGAGTTCTTCAGCTTTTGTAGTTCATGCCTTGGAGAATGTAATGCAAGCAGGGACACACCACACACACACACACACACACACACACACACACATCACACCCGACACCTTGGTTCCCGGGCCTCCCAGAGACCATGACACAAAGACCCCCACCCACCCTTCTGCCACAAAGCCCCCTGAGGAGCTGGGGCATCTCGGAGGTTGAGGTGCTTGAAGCTAACTGCCCCCCCCCCCAGGCCAGAGCCCGGATGCCCACCCAGAACATCTCTCCCGGGATCACCTGAGTGCCCCAGCTGGCACCTCCTTCCTGGCCAGCCCTCTGGTCCAGGGCAAACCAGGTCACAACTGGCAAAAGCCCGACCCATGCGGATTCCTTGCACCTGCTGGGGGGGGGGGGGCAGAGGGGGCCACGCCCACAGGATGCCAGGGTCTCCACTCCCCTGGGAAAACCAGGCGGGTCAGGGCTCTGGCACCAGGAGCGCAGACTCATCTAGCAGAAACCAGATACGCTTGCTCTCTTCTCCTATTCAGGTTCGATGGGCATGGGCCTCTGGGGGGGGGGGGCGGGGGGGAGACACTGAAAGAGATCAAAGGCAGCTCTTTGGAAATGGAATCCTGAGTCCGCCCCTTGCAGATCTGTCTGTTGGGGAGCAGACAGCGCCTCTGCTGTGGGTGCCTACAGGGCTGGCCGGTGGGAGCCGCGATGGAGCCCTGGGGGTGTGTGGCTGCAGGCAGGCCGGCCATCCGGCGTGAAGTCTGGGGCAGCTGTCCGGTGGCCCTGGACATCAGCACTGGGAAACGGGAGGTCAGGACAAAGCTGAGAGCCCCACGGAGCTGTCCCTGCCCCCCGGGGGAGTGCCATGGCTAAGGATTGGCGCCTCGACATCTCTGCCCTGGCTGTCTGCATTAGGCATTTGCAAAGTGGGGTGGGGGCCGGGGTGGAATCCTCTATCTCCAGGAGGGGTGAGGGGGTCCCAAAGCCCCTTCAGTGTTTAACAAACTTCTCTGACAAGAAGTACTTTTTCTTTGTATAAACATGTTTTTATTGATGTTACAGAGAGAAAGGGAGAGGGAGAGAGGGATAGACACTTCAATGAGAGAGAAACATGGATTGGCTGCCTCCTGCACACCCCCAACAGGGGATCAAGCCCACAACCTGGCCACGTGCCCTGATCAGGAATCAAACCGGTGACCTCTTGGTTCATAGGTGGACACGCAACCGCTGAGCCACCCTGGCCGGGCAGCCAGGAAGTGCTTTCTTGTTTTCTTTGGGGAGGGGGGAGAGGGGGGAGTTCTTTCTTAGGTCTACCTTACGTTTCTTCTGCTGGCACAGAAGCCAGTTTTCTCTGGTCCAGGGGTCAGCAACCTTTAGCAGGAAGGGCCAGCGTGTCCCCATAAAACCATTTATGGACACGGAGATGTGGATCTCATATAGTTCTCACAACAAGCGACTGTTCTCTTGACTTTCCTAAAGCACATTTAAAAATGTAGAAACCTCGCTTCTGGTGGGCGGCGCACACGTCGGCCGTGGGCTGGATGGGCCCACAGGCCGCGGTTTGCAGATGCCGCTCTCGTCCCCTCGCCTCGGCCCGAGCTGCGCGTTAGAACCGTCTGGGCAGCCTCCACAGGCACGGGCGTCCAGGGCCCGTCTGCAGAGAGCCCGCTTTCGCTGGTCAGGGTTGTGTCTGGGCTCCCAAGCTCTGCAGGTGACTAGCGTGGAGCCGGGCCCGAGAGCTGCCCCAGGCCTGCTCCCGGTCTCACCACCCTCCTGGCCTTAGGGAAGCTCCTTACGGTCTCTGTGCCTTGACTTCTTCATCTGTATAATGGGGACAATGGCTCTTCCTTCATAGGGGCATTGTGGGAAGTAACTGCATATCCTTAGAACATGCTTCTTTTTTTTTCCCCCAAATATATTTTATTGATTTTCACAGAGAGGAAGGGAAAGGGATAGAGAGTTAGAAACATCGATGAGAGAGAAACATCGACCAGCTGCCTCCTGCACACTCCCTGTTGCAGGGAAGGTGCCTGCAACCAAGGTACATGCCCTTGACCGGCATCAAACCTGGGACTCTTCAGCACACAGGCCAGCGCTCTATCCACTGAGCCAAACCAGCCGGGGCCTTATAACGTGCTTCTGACAGTGCCGGGCACATACTAAGGCCCCAGTGCCAGTTGGTTTATTTTCTAAGGTACGTTCAGTAGGTGCTTCATTCTTTGCTAACGATCCATCGCATCCTCCGAGGTCATTTCTAAGTCACCATCCCGGCTCCTTCCCCAAAGCGTGTCCCCAGGAACACTGGGGCCCCGAGAAGCTGCACCAGAAAAGAGGACGTGGGTTCCAGGTCAGAGGTTTGGCGCACTGTGTGCACAGACTCCGGGCAGATAACGGGTTCATGAGATTTTAAAAATGCACCCCCTCCTGGGGGCAGAGCGGAGCTGGGGGCCAAGTGGAAAGCGATAGCTGATGGGACAGCCACCGGGCCTCCTGCATTCCTCCCGTGGCGTCGTACCGCCGTTCCCCGGAGACTCTCCGCTCCCACGGGCTGCCTTCCCGGGATCTGTCTGTGACTCTGAGCGGCTCCCAGGCGGCTGGGAATGGCCTGAGGTCGGAGGCTGCGAGGGCCCAGCCTTGTGGGAACGGGGCAGCTTCGCTTTGGGATGTAACTGAGACCCCCTCCAGCTCAGAGATGCTTCGGGGGGACCTCCCTTCCAGCTTGTTCAGCACCCCCATGCCTCAATGTTGCATGGCGGCTGCACAGCCCCCGGAATGGGGTTCCCTCTGCAGCCGGAGCCGGACAGAGGGTGGAGATACACGCAGAACAGCAAGGGAAGGTGGGCGCCGGGGTGGGTGGTGAGAGGGGCCAAAAGGCAGAGCGTTTCCCAGGCTGGACGGGGCACGTCCCCTCCGTGGTGACCTTGGCTCTCGTGGGCGATGGCGAGGAGGGTGTCTGAGTGAGTGTGTGCGGGGAGGGGGCGGCAGGAAGAAGCAGTGTACAGAACCGGGTGCTTCCGTTGGGTATTTTCTGCTTTCTGTCAGCATGGGTGCTCTGGTTTAGGATCCGTGGCCTCTTCTGGGAGGCTTCCTAGTCCCTCCTCATGCCCAGTGCTCCAGAACCCACCTGAGTGGCGTGGCCTAGGGGACAGGGGGGGAATGCAGGCCCCGGGGCCCACCTGCTGAATCAGAATCTTGGGGGTGAGTTTGTAACATTTCTCTGGGCCATTCTCACACACTGTACCTGAGAGGCAGGTCTGGGTAGGGTAAGGTGACCAGACATCCCACTTATGGCGGGACAGTCCTGATTTTTAACAATTTCAGGCATTTTAAAAAAGTCTTGCGGGTTGCGGGACAAATTGTTAAAAATTGGGACCTGTGGTCACCTTAGGTAGGGAGCTGTTGGGCCGGGGACAGGGGGACGATTCAGGGACATTTACCGTCAGGGGTGAGTCAGCGGTCCGGTAGGCCCAGTTCACTGGCCATGACGAACTCGGAGGCCCTGCCTCGGGGATGGAACTGGTCTTTATTTTGGAGGAAACCAAGTGGGGCGCCTGGGCCTGGGCCCTCGGTTGGGTGTTCTGGCTCTGAGGCACTTCCCAGGGGGTCTGTGGTCCCTCTTTAAAACGGTGCTAAGCCTTGTAGTTCTGTGTTGCATGTGATCTCGCGCTGTAAATAAAGAGCTGATGGTTAATAAGCCGCCTTCTGTCTCTTTGCCCCTCCGGGAGGCGGTCTGTCTGCAGCCGGTGAGTGCGGTCAGGCATCGGAGTGGACCGGATGCTTCCTGTTTCCCCACCACGTCTCAAGCATTTCCTCACTCTCCCCTTTCACTGAGCCTTTGCTCTGAGCTAAGCAGGAACCCAGGCAGACGGAGTCTCTGCCCTCACTGAGCCTCATCCTGGTCCTTCGACCAGATCTCGTGGTGGAAGTTTCATATTTTCTTTTTTAAATATATTTTATTGATTTTTTTACTGAGAGGAAGGGAGAAGGATAGAGAGTTAGAAACATCGATGAGAGAGAAACATCCATCAGCTGCCTCCTGCACACTCCCTACTGGGGATGTGCCCGCAACCAAAGTACATGCCCTTGATCAGAATCAAACCTGGGACCTTTCAGTCCGCAGGCCGACGCTCTATCTACTGAGCCACACCGGTCAGGGTGGGAGTTTCATACTTTCATCTCCTTCCCTGTTTTAGGGCTGGGGCAGCTCAGGCCCCACAGAGATGACAGGTGGTCACCGCAGGCCGGCCTCTGGCAGCCACCTTCCAGGCCTGGGTGGCCGGGTGCCGAGGAACACAGATGCCAACTTTGGCAGGACGGGGAAGGACTCAGTAATGCCACCGAGGCCGGGCCAGGCAGGCCCCGATGCATCTTGGGAGAGCACGAACGGGTGAGGGGGTGGCCTGGCTTGGCACCGGGAAGGGTGTCTCTTGTCTCCGTGGCAGCCGCAGCTCAGCCCTGCTCACCTCCACAGCCCCCTTCTCCATGCTTTCTCTTTCCGTGGCCTCAGTTCCCTGAGGTCAGCCCCGGTCTGAAGTGACTAAACGGAAACCTGCATAAACAAACAGCTCACACATGTGAAATCAGTACCACGGTGGCATGATGAACTCTCAAGCCAGCCCGCTCTGTCCGCCCCAGACATACACCATTCTGTTTTTCAAAGAAAAAACTTCAGAGATGAAGTGACTACCCAAGGTCACATAGGTGCAAAGTGGCCGTGCTGGGCGGCCAGGGTTGGGGAGGCCACACACACAAACGCTGAGGCCCAGCTCTCAGGCTTTGCTCCTAGGAACAAGGCATGAGGGGGGGGAGGGTCCTCTCTCCATCAAAGCGGCCTTTCTCTGCTGCCTGGATCATGGCCTTCATCCTGGGCCGGGAGATGCTGAGAGATGCTATGTTTTCCTCATAGCGGCAGGGGAGCTATCTGCTTCCTGAGCATTTCCAACGTGTCAGGAAAGCTGTGTAAATGATCTCACACGATCCCCACAGTCACTCTGAGGCTAAAGAACCTTCCCAGGACCACTCTGCCAGGAGGGGACAAGGCAAGGGCCCCCCCAAAAATACTGTTACCTAAAGGACACAAGCCAACCATAGGAAGGATATGGCTGTGGTTGGTTCAGCAGCCATTTCCATAACCAGTGGCATCCACCAAGTGGCTTCCCGCACAGAGCCTGGACTTCCGGTGGCACCCTGAGGACCAGCAGGGCGCTGGGCGGCAGGTCTTCCGGGTGCCTGTGACAGGAGGAAGCGGAGCACACCAATGTGTTCAGTTGGTGTAGGTTCGTTCCCTGAACATCTACTATGTGCAGGCAAGTGTTGAGGTTGATAAGTGCTATGAAGAAAATGAAACAGGATGGTACAGCCAACGTGGAAAACAGTTTGGCAGTTTCTTAAAAAGCTACATTTACACCCACACTATGATCCAGCCACTCCTGTCCTAGATATTTACCTGAGTACGGCAGGTGTTCAATAACTGTTCTCTGAATTGATGGGTGGCTGGCTGGCTAGATGAATCTATTCTGCATGTCAGGTTCTTTGTTGAAGGTACGAAGATAAAACATGGCTGAGACAGAAGGGACTGATGAGGGACATGAACAACTTAAACTTCACTTCCAAAAGTATACTCAGAAAGGATGACCTCCCCACCCCAAAGCCTTGTGAAATGTGCTTTGTGGGGGGCCCATCAGTTCTCCCAGAGTCATGACTGGGTCTTCGCAGGAACTTGGCTCCTTCGAGAATGGTTCCACTTTCCTTTGTTCCTCTGGGCTCCTTTCCCACCCGGGCCAGCTGGATACACCCACACCACTGCCCCCACCCCCACCCCACGCCTCTGGCCCCAGCTGGTGTGGATGAAGGCGGTGTCACTGGGTGAGCTACTGGGACATTCCACAGACCCAGCCTTGTGTTTCATCTGGCTCCAATCTGTCTCCCCCTGCTGCTCGCCTCCATCCCTGCATCTCAGCCCGGGCAGAATTTCCCTTAGATGTGGGCAGCAGAGCCGAGTGGTTGAATGTCAAGGTCTGAGAGCCAGACCTCCTTGGGTCCCAACTCAGTTTCATACAACTAGTGATGTGGCTTTGGTCAAGCCTCTCAGCTTCTCTTCGCCTCGGTCACCTCACAGAAGATCTGGATAAGAACAGTACCTGCAGCATCGGGTTGCTGTGAGCGTTTACTCTGAGCGCTTTTCATACTGTCTGACACAAAATAGGTACTTAATAAATGTCAGCTCTGATCCTAGAACTTGTTTTGCATTTTCTGTTGACAGGGTGATCACAGTCTTGTTACGGACCTACAGGCTTGGATGCAACACCACTAGGATCTGGGGTGCATGGAGAATATTTCTCTTTTTTAAAATATATTTTATTGATTTTTTTACAGAGAGAAAGGGAGAGGGATAGAGAGTTAGAAACATCGATGAGAAAGAATCATCGATCAGCTGCCTCCTGCACACCTCCTACCAGGAGTGTGCCCGCAACCAAGGTACATGCCGTTGACCAGAATCTGGGACCTTTCAGTTCACAGATCGATGCTCTATCCAATGAGCCAAATCGGTTTCGGCTGGAGAATATTTATTGACTCTGCTGCTTGGCTATAAAACCCCATTTGTCCTTGCTGTCTTTTTAAAAATATATATATATATATTTTTTATTGATTTCAGATTGGAAGGGAGAGGAAGGGAGAGCTAGAAACAGCAATGATGAGCGTGAATCATTGATTGGTTGCCTCCTGCACATTCCCTACTGGAGATCAAGCCCCCAACCCCGATATGTGCCCTTGACCGGAACCGAACCTGGGACCCTTCATTCTGCAGGCCGTCGCTCTATCCAGTGAGCCAAACCGGCTAGAGCTGTCCTTGCTGTCTTCATAATTAAGCTTGATTTCTCTCTTCTCTTGCAATATTCCTATGGCAAAAGTCTTGAATAAAGTCTTCCTCACCATTTTAACAAGTGTCAAAATAATGTTTCTTTGACAGCATGAATTCGTTCATTTAGATCCTAGGAGGTAGGTGCTGTGAACATCTCCACTTTAGCGTCGGGAAGCAGGAAGGAAAGAGGATGCCCTAAGAAATGAGACACCAGCTACGGCACATCTGCAGTTTGCACCTGGACATCCCCCCAAGCTCTCCCGGCTGCAGGGGGTCCCGTACGTCCACCTCCTGGGATGTTAACCAGGCAAGACAGGGCGCCCTTTGGGACAAATCCTGGGGTTCTCCAGTCGACAGGGGAGCAGCCTGAGCAGTGAGTGGCGGGAGCCCCGGGCTGGAGGACGCGCTGGCAGCCAGACGCCATCTCCTAGCAACCGGACGTCGGTCACGTGACCCTCCTCACGTGGCCGGGAGTTGAGCGGGGGTTGGAGCCCGGGCAGCGGGCTGGGCGGGACCGGCAAGTTTCCCTCCGGAGTTTGCAGGTCCGGACCCTCCGCGGATCGCGGCTGGTGCCTTCACCCGGGTCGGGATGGAGCAGCCGAACTTGAACCTGAAGGTGGCGCCGGGCGGGCGAAGCGGGCGGGGCGGCCACGGCCGGGCACGCGGGCGCGGGGCGCGTCTCCCGGGGTTGGGGGGCGCTTGCTTTTTAGTTTATGGGAGGACACCCCAACCTGCTGAGCCCGCCAGCCAGGGACCCCGTTTGCTTTTTAAAAGTCGGATTTTAGGGGTGAGAGGGCCAAGGGCTGGAGAAGGAGGTGGGGTGGGGAGAAGGGGAAGGCACAGGCGCCAGGTGAGCAGGGTCGGGCAGACAGACCTCGGCTGGGATTGGGGTTCAGAAAAGGCCCAGCCCCAGAGGACCGCTCCGGCCGCCCCCCTGAATCCCCTGGAGCAGGAGGAGAGCTCACCGAGCCCTGGGGGTGGGCGGGGGGCTCAAGAGGGACACCCCCTACCCCCTGCACGGGAGAGCCTCCGGGTACCGCCTGATCGCCCCATCTGTTTGCTAAGTCAGGTTAAGAAAATTAGATTTCCCGAACGAGTCGTTTTTCCAAACTATCTAAACCCTGCGATTTTGTTTTCTAAGAAACACGGTCTCCAGTCGAAGTTGCTTAAAAGCAGAAAAACCCCAACTGGGTACACTTAGAGAAACACTGCCGGGCTTCCTGGGTGTCCTCACTTCCTGAGCCGCCGCCTCAGCTCCCCGGGCGCCCTAGGCTGTTCTTCTTTCTCTCCCCGCCCTCTCCTGCTTCTTGTATTTGTGACAAAGGCCCCCAAAGTTGCCATTTTGCATCTCGATGCTGCCTCCTTTGAGACTTTGTTCAGGACTCTTCACACATGACAAGGCATTGGCAGCCAGTGGTGTCTGGTACTCAGGGAACCGAAATGACTACAAAATAACAGACGCATCGTCCATATTTGGGTTCTGAGACCCGGCTGAGCTATGACTTGGAACAGGCAGATTTCGCCATCACATTGGCTGGGGCAAACCTCCCCAAGCTTCCCTGGAGAGAGGGCTGGAGCGAGGGGAGTGGGCTTGGAGTCACGTGTTCGCTGGGAAGAAATCTGCTTAAGGGCAACAGCTTTGTTGGCATCCATACTCGTGCTGTCTCAGGCAGTGCAGGGTTAATGCCCATCGCCTTTCCCCTGATCAGAGCTTTGCCTAAAATACTGCAGAGGGAAAACGAGGTGACGGAGGGAAAACGAGGTGACGGAGGGAAAACGAGGTGACGGAGGGAAAACGAGGTGACCGAGGGAAAACGAGGTGACAGAGGGAAAACGAGGTGGCGGGCAGAAGGGCAGAAGGTGCAGGAGTCGAAAGGGGCGCCTGTGGAATGCCAGGTTATTTATTCAATCACAGCCGCCTCCCGAGAAAGCCGATACGGTCATCTTTTTGCGGACGGAGAAACTTCGGCTCAGATCAGGCCAATATCTTGCCGAGGTCCCACAGGGATTGGGTGGCAGAGTCAGACTTCAAAGCTGCCCTTTCCTGGCTCTCGGTCAGTATGTTGGGGTGGACTTCTGCCTTGACAGTTTAGGTACATTAGGGGATGTTTGATTTTTTGTTTTCGTTGTGTGTGTTTTTTTAAAATATATTTTATTGATTTTTTTACAGAGAAGAAGGGAGAGAAATAGAGAGCCAGAAACGTCGATGAGAGAGAAACATCGACCAGCCGCCTCCTACCGGGGATGTGCCCGCAACCAACGTACATGCCCTTGACCGGAATCGAACCTGGGACCTTTCAGTCCGCAGACCAATGCTCTACCACTGAGCCAAACCGGTTTCGGCATCGTTGTGTGTTTTTTTTAATATTTTTTTTTTTTTGATTTTTTTTTTTACAGAGAGGAAGGGAGAGGGATAGAGAGTTAGAAACATCAGTGGGAGAGAAACATCGATCAGCTGCCTCCTGCACACCCCCAACAGGGGATGTGCCCACAACCAAGGTACATGCCCTGACCGGAATCGAACCTGGGACCCTTCAGTCTAAAGGCCGACGCTCCAGCCACTGAGCCACACCGGTTTCGGCAGGGGCTGTTTTTTGAGCAACTTCGTGGGCCTGGCAGCCAAGCACCGCCACAGGTGTGAGCTTCCGGTGCCCAGAACGAGACAGCTGGTCCTGCCTTGACGTGGGGAATAAGACCCTCTGTCTCCAAGGGTCTTAGCTGCTACTCGTCAGCGACTAGTGAGCGCTGGGAGGCCCTGAGGGACTGGGGTTGCCGGGTCGCAGACAGGCCATCCAGCTGATTCTGAATTCCAGATCAACAGCGAGTCATTTTTGTTTTAGCATCAGTATGTCCCACGCAGTATCTGGGACATGCTAACAAACCATTCGTGACCCGGAGTTAAGAATTAGCTGGGTGTTCGGTGCTCCTCTTGTTAAGTCTGGCCGCCTTACGGAGGGCAGCTGTGGATTCCTTGTTCCCCGGCCACTTAGGTGTTCTGAGATCAGCCCTCGACCCTCCCCCTACCCCCCACCCCAGGGGGGAGCTGGGACATGCACCCCTATACCCCTGTACTCCCTCCCCGCTTCTTCATTGGCCCATTGCCTGCTTGTGCCCCAGCAGAGCGGGCAGTGGTGCCAGATGAGAAGGAATAGTCGCCCCAGGCCCTTGGCACAAAGGACAGGCCCTAACTTGAGCCCTGTCACGTGGCACATCCTGTGCCGGAGGAATGATGTGCAGACGAGCCTGGAAAGGACTAGTTGTGGGTTCGTGAGTCCCTGTTGAAAGAGGCCCGGGTCCGGGAAGGGGTGGAGGGTCGTGTCGAATGAGGGTTAAGAATTCGGGACGGTTGGGTACCAAGGGCGGACCACCTGGCAGGCACTGTGCTAAGTGTTCCATGAACCTCTCCACCTCCCTGTGCCACTGGATCCACACAGCGACCCTAGGAGACAGGCCTACTGGCCCTAATACAGGGAGGGGCAAGCGGCAGTTCAGCGAGGGCAGATGATTGGCTCGCGGTCACGCAGCGTCTGCATCATGGAGCTGGGATCTGGCCCACATATTTGGCTCCAGACAGTTAGCCACCGCCTGCTTCTGCCTCCCCTCGAGGGCAGCCCTGACGGGGGTCCCTGAGCCTCAGCCACCCTCGGGGATCGCACTACCTCACAGAATATATTCCATACATTGATCTGTTTGTTGATCTGAGGTCTGTCCACACCTGTCTCGGATGTTCTTCACCCCTGATTCCCGCCCCCATGGGCTCTAGCGGCAAACGAAGGGTCCAAGGCCAGGTCCTCAGAACTCCTCGGCGTCCCCGCAGCCTCCCCCCGCCCCCCAGGGCTGAACCGCATTTCCACCCGCCCTGCCCTGGCTCTGCCCGTCCTGCCAGCGTCCCACAGGCCCTGGGGCCAAACCTGCCTTCAGGGCCAGTCTTTGCTCCTTACTAGTCGCGTGGCCTTGAGCAGGCTCCTTTACCTCCGTGAGGATCCGCTTCCTCGCTGTCAAAAGAAGACAAACCCTATCTTCTAGGGCACATGTGTCAAACACAAGGCCCGCGGGCCAAATCCGTCCCGCCAGGCCTTGCAATGTGGCCCGCACAGCGCTGTCATCACTGCACTCCGCTGCGTTTCCATCGCAATGACAGTTTATGACTGTTCAGTAAACCATTCGGCCCGCGATTTAGGCTGGATTTTAGATTTTGGCCCCTTCTCTGATTGAGTTCGACACCCCTATTTTAGGGTGATAGGATGGGCAGGTGGTCCAGGAGGGGGCGTGGCGTTCTGTTTTTATTGGCATAAAAACTCGGAATGGATAGACCAGTTCTGAGATTTGCGTCTGGGCTGTCTTGTGGATGCGTGTTCTGTTCCGGTCCAGTTCACGCCCTCTCTCACAGCCCCGGTTTCTTCGTCAGTGAGACAGGATTAATCCTCTCCCCATGTAGGTGCAGGAATGCCATGGCCCCGTGCTGGGGCAGGGTGGACACATCCTCCCCAGGAGCGGGCGTTTGTTAACGCTGCTGCCGGATGCCTGCCCCGCCAGGTACCTCTGCTCAGTAAGCGGCTACACCCAGGGACCGTCCGGGTGCCTGACTCCGCGGTGGAGGCACCTGCATGGGACATATGGGTGGCGGGCACTGCCCCCATTTCACAGACACCGAGGGACCTGGTCCCCGGCCCGGAGCCCTGGTGTCGTACTCCTAATCCAGCGTCCTACGCCGCCCTGCTACCTTGGTGCTTTGACCCTCTCTTGCCCAGTCTTCTGACACAGCTGGACACGAGCTGGGCAGCCGCCCTCAGCCGAGCACTGTGTGGAGAGTCCCCCATTCTGAAGGAGAGCTCGGTCTTCCTTTCCTCCGGTGCGGCCATGAGCGGCCCGGCTGCCCAGGCACACCCTCGGACCCGGCGCCTCCCTCCCCGTTCTCCGCGGCTGCACCTGAGAACCCCAGCGGCCCCATGTTCCCGGAACCTCCCCCAGAGCCTGCGGACAGCTCTTCTGCGCCAAGAGGAGTCACTGTTCTCCAGGGGACAGTGGAGAAGGCAGGGCCAGGCCGGCCAGGTTTCTTAGGGAGCCTTCCTGGACCGACGCCTGGTCCTAGGCCTGGCGTGCTGTGCCCTCCCATTGCAAAGCTGGGGAAACCGAGGCAGGGGAGGCTGCTCTTCGGTGGGTTTCTTTTCCCAGGGGCTTAATCGAAGCGATCAGGTCATGCTAAACTTCTTAAATCTTTATGAAGCAGGAGGGATGTCACATGAAGGGGCCGGTGTGTGTGGAGGGTGTGCGGTATCTCCAGGGTACGCCCTTTCCTTCCCAAGAGAGCTGGCATCGTGTTAAACCTCAGCCAGAGTCGCCCTCCGCCACCTGCTACCCTGCGGGTCGCGGCCCTCCCAGTCTCAGCCTCTCCTCTCACCAGAGGGCCGGGCTCTGGGCCCTTTGGTGCCGACGTGAGTGCGCACAGTCTGGGCGTCGGAGCCAGAGCGCCGGGAACGGAAACGGTGCTGAGATGGGAACCCACTGTGGGGAGGGTCAGGCGCTGATTCTCAGGGCCGCGTGGCACTGGGACTGTCCCCCGCGCCTCCTCAGTCTGGAAGGCAGATACCAGGGCCGCTGGGCTGATCGCAGTGCAGCCTTGGGCACCTCTCTCCTCTGTGGGCAGGGGCTCCTGCAGAACGGAGGGGGCAGTGGCTGGCTCTTAGGATAGAGCTCAGAATCCATCCCTGCCCCCAAGGCCAACCCGGCTGCCAGCCCTCCCCAGTTCTCCCCTTATCTCCTCCTCCAGGCACAGCGGCTTCTTCTCACTCCCCTTTCCCTGACCAGCAGTGGAGGCCCGTTCCAGTCCAGGGGGCTGTTCCTTTAAGGACAGATGGGGCAATAAAAAAGGGTGGAATGTCACAAAAAAAGCCACAGGGGGTTTTGGCGTGAGCATAAACCACACCAGGGGCTTCCTGGTCGAAGAGCCTCCTGTGGCTTCCTCACGTGGAGTGAAATCCACACTCCAAGGCCCCTGCCCCCCACTGCGCCCACACTCCCGCCCCACACAGCACCCCGGCTCTAGAGACATCAGCCTCTTTGAGCGCCTCACCACCACCCTGGCCATTCTCATCAAGGTGCCCTCCACTCCAGAGCAGGGTCCCGGGTCCCCAAAGGAGCCCCCAGCCTCTGGAAGCAGGAAGGGATGTGGGGCCTCCAGCCTCCGAAAGCAGGAAGGGGGTCAGCTGCCCCAAGGGAATGGGGCGGGGGCGGTGGCATCGTCCCCTGTCTGGCCAGGCCCTCCTCCTCCTCCACCACCAGTTCCCTCGCCATTGCAGACATCTGTGCGGCCCCCTTAGGTGCCAGGCAGTGGCCTCCTGGGTTTTCTGGCTCCACAGCTCCCCCACCCCCTGCTCCCCACGGTGGTCACACTCACAGCTCTCCCCCCTCCTCCTCTTTGTGCCGCAGATTATCATCCTGATCCACTGGGTGCTGACCATCTGGTAAGTGGCTCCACAGGGTGTCCGCTTCTGCGTCCACCTGTCTCCTGTGTCCCAGCCAGTCCCAAGACTAAATGGCACCTCTGTCAAGAAGATCGTCAGCAAGCTGCCCCTGTCCCAGGGATGTTGGAGGGGCAGGCAGTCCCCAGAGGCCTTGGCCACCACTGCCTCGTAGGAGCTCCGAGCCCTCATCCGGGTTAGCGAGGTCAGATAGGATTTCTCAGCCACACTCCTCTAGCTCTGCAGCTGGTGAGCCCGGGCTTCATTCGGCCCCAGCACTTGCTCTCCTAAAGCCCAGAATGAGGTTACTTACTGGGTAATATGCAATGTGGAGCCTCGTTGCATTCTACGCTAAGATGACCAGACGTCTCGCTTTTGGCAGGACAGTCCCGATTTTTAACAATTTGTCCCGCATCCCTCAGTGTTTAAAAAACGACTTTTAACAAATGGTTAAAAATCGGGACGTCTGGTCGCCTTATTCTACTCGGAGCTGCTTTGACCAGTTTTTGGGATGGTGCGCTTTAGGGATTGTTGATTGAGTGTATGAAGCGCCTTACTGCGCTGGGGCAGTGGAGGACCAGGGAAAATGGCAAATAAGAGCATGGCCTCTTGCTTGGCTGGTGTGGCTTGTCAGTGCCAGCCTGAAGGTGAACCAGACTGAGGTGAGGAGGTGGGAATTAAGAAAAGAATGACAGGAAAGCGGGATCGGGAGGACTGCAAGCCATTGACAGACTGCAGAAACTTTATTAACTGCACAATACCTTTTTTAAAAATATATATATTTTATTGATTTTTTTACAGAGAGGAAGAGAGATAGAGAGTTAGAAACATCGATGTAAGAGAAACATTGATTAGCTGCCTCCTGCACACCCCCTACTGGGGATGTGCCCACAACCAAGGCACATGCCCTTGACTGGAATCAAACCCAGGACCCTTCAGTCCGCAGGCCGAAGCTCTATCCGCTGAGCCAAACCGGTTTCGGCCATAATACCTTTTATGCACAAACACTGGGAGGTCAGTTCCGGAGGAACGTACTCTCCGTTCCTCTCAATCTCTAAGGGAGATAAAGCAGGAAGCCCAATTCTCGGTAAAGCAAACCGCAGTAAACAGTTACAGACTTCTGGTAAGCCATGGAAGGTCGCTCTCATTCTGCTGACAATTAGAAATCGCCATCCAAACAAGTCAGGGGACCCTGTGGGGGCAGGGGACTGAATCTTATCAGTCCCTTCGGGTGCAAGGACTCTGTCAGGTTACACCCGGTCTCCAACAGTGGCTCAGTGGTTGAGTGTCAACCTATGGACCAGGAGGTCACGGTTTGATTCCCAGTCAGGGCACGTGCCCAGGCTCCATCCCCAGTGTGGGGTGTGCAGGAGGCAGCCGATCAATGATTCTCTCATCATTGATGTTTCTGTCTCTTTCTCCCTCTCCCTTCCTCTCTGATATCAATATATTGTGTATGTATGTATGTGTGTATATATATATATATATATATATATATATATATATATATAAATATAAACTTTTTTTTTTTTTTTTTTTTTTTTTAAGGAAGAGCATGGCCTCTTGAGCCAGATTGCCTGGGTTCAAATCCCAGCACCGCCACTTAGCAGCTGTGGGATCTCGGGCAGGTTACTTGTGTTATGCCCAGACTTCGTGATCCCCAAGGACCACCAGGGAGCCGAGTCCGATGCAATAAACAAAAGAGCCTGTTCCATGCTAGCATGGGCTCCTCCCACTCACGCCGGCAGCATGGCGGAAGAGAGAGCGAATTTCGCCCAGTCCAGGGGTTTTACTCCGGTTCGTGGTGATGTCACTGCCTCGGCTAACCCTGATTGGTTGGGTGAGGGCTAGGGATAACTCCGCCCTGCGGGGTGGAGTCGGGAGCTCATCCTCGCCCCGCCCTGCCCTTTCACTTGACCTCTGTGCCTCAGCTTCCTCTGTGTAAAATGACGATAGCCATAGTGCCTCCTTCCCTGCGTTGTTAACACAAACGCACATAAACGAGTTCATTTAAAGCATTTAGAAATGTGCCAGATTCTAGTAAGGGCTGTGTTCATTAGTGTTTTCATTGGGTTGACAATAAGTCAATGTCAGTTAGTAGCAATACCCTCGGCCTAGGAAATCAAATAGAGTGGACACTGTATTAGATGGTGACGAGGTGGCCTTCAAAATCGGGCGGTCAGGGGAGGAGTCTTGGTTAACCTTTGAGCTGGGTCTGAAATGACACAACGGGGCCAGATGTTCAGGGTAGAGGGAGGCACCGGTGTCACCAGTGGCTCCCACTAGGCCCCTTCGGCCGTGGGAGAGAGTCTCTTATTTCAAGTGGGACAGAAAACTGGTGGGACTTTGAGTGGAGAAGATCTCACCAGATGAACTTGACTGGTTGCTATTGAGAGAATGGCCCGGACGGGGCAGCAGTGGGAGGGAGCAGACCTGTGGGAGGCCGGCTGGTACGTCCTGGCAGGAGAGGATGGTGGTTTGGGCCTGAAGGGAGCCTTCTGGGAAGCAGAGCCGATGGGATTGGTTGATGTTCCTGGCTCACCGCTGGGGCACAAGAGGCCTGGCCAACTGCGGCCTCTTCTCAGAGGATCCCTGAGGCCCTGGCGCTCCAGGAGGTGCATGTGGGAGGCATGGGCACCCGTGGGGCAGTCACCCGCTAACCTGACTCGGATCCATCTTCCCGCAGGGGCTGCCTCGTGTTCGGGGGCCCCTATGCCTGGGCCAACTTCACCGTCCTGGCCTTGGGCGTGTGGGCCGTCGCTCAGCGGGACTCCCTGGACGCCATAAGCATGGTGAGCTAGGGCAGCAGCACCAGGCCCGGCTTTGGGATGATCTGTGGCCCCTGCTCTGTCTTCCCTGCACCTGTCCCAGCCTCCTGCCTGTTCCTGTTTCCCATTTTCTAAAGCCAGGCTGCAGCCCGAGGGTGTTTGCTGGCCTGGCCTGCTCCTCTGCCTGCCCAGCTCATTGTCTTCCCGCAGAAAGGCATGTGGTGTGGAGGGTCCCTCCAGTGCCCCAGGCTGGCTACGCCCCGAGGCCAGTGGGACACGTACTCAAGACCCCTTCCCCCACCTCGCCAGGACCCCCTTTTAGGAGGAGACCAGCAAAGGGGGAACTCCGGCCCTAGCTGGCTTGGCCCAGTGGATAGAGCATCCGCCTGAGGACTGAAGTTCGATTCTCAAGTCCCGGATTTGATTCTGGTCAAGGGCACATGCCCAGGTTGCGGGGCTGGATCCCCAGTAGGGGGCTTGCAGAAGGAGTTTCTATCATTGGAGTTTCTATCTTCCCTCTCCCTTCCTCTCTGAAATCAATAATAATAAAAAATAATATATATTTTTTGTGAGGTCAAAGTGGATTCAGCCCAGTTAAGCTCTCCCTGGGGGCAGGGGCTTCTCAGCACTCACTAAGCGCTGAACGGTGGTGGCTGGGGCCTCTCGGGGTGACAGAAAGGATTTCCTTGGTGGTGGAGACAGAGTAAGTGAACCCTGAGGTGCCTTCCATCTCAGAGGTTCTAGAACCAGGTCGTCCCTTGTCATGGCCTCAAGGACAACAGGAGATGGGCGGGGGCTTGGGTGGGCTGGCAGGCTGGGGCTGGACCTCAGGGACCTCCCCGAATCCCCCCTCTGCTCTGCAGTCCCATCGGGCATCTCGCCCACAAGGTCCTGCCTGCTTGCTGGGCTGGTTTTCCAGCAGCCTCTGAGGTCACAGTAAGGCTCACACACAGCTTCCGGCCTGGTTATGCACACGACAGAGGCGGGTCGAGGAGGCAGTGAGCTCACGTGGTCATGCCTGGGCTCCGTGCCGGCCTGTCTTGCAGTTTCTGGGCAGCTTGATCATCACCATCCTCCTGGACATCATCCACATCAGCATCTTCTACCCGCGGGTCGGCCTCTTGGACTCGGGCCGCTTCGGCGCCGCCATGGCCATCCTCAGCCTGCTCCTCAAGCCCTTCTCCTGCTTCCTGATCTACCAGATATACATGCAGCGCGGGGGCGGGGGCATCATCTACCCCAGTGAGTACCCTTCAGTGAGCCAGCTCACCGCGTCTCCTCCCCCTCCCCCTCCCCCGCAGCCCCTGCCCTTAAGGGGTGCCAGCTCCTGGCTTCCCTGAGGGGTCCTGAAGCCAGCGATGGACCTCACGGGGAACGTGTCCCAGTCCGCAGCTCAGGTGTGGCCTGCATGGTTCTGTGCACGCACTGTCTGTCCCAGCCGCCTGGGGTGACCTTGCCCTGCCGTCAGGCTGGGGGCAGCACTGGGGGCAGCAGCCAGGACTCCCTCAGAGCCCAAACACCGGATATAGCTGGGGGAGTGATCCGGTTCCCCCGGCAGCTCTGGGCAGTCTGCAGCCCGAGACTCGAGGCACCTGCAGGGGCACCCTCTCTTCTCAGCTCCCACCAGCCCCCCCACCTGGGGCCCCCTTCTCCTGTCTCCTGGGATCTGGGTGGCCACGGGAGAGATGGTGGGAGAGATGGTGCCGGCACGAGCCAGGGAGCCCCGGCCGAAGGCAGCGTCACCTGCAGGGCTTACCCTGCCTCCCGGCCCTCTCCCTCAGCCAGCCCCACACTGCCCGCTGCACGGCCTCACCTGGCTCCAGCCCTCCTCATGGCGTCCCAGCCACTGGCCTGCCCTTTCCCACTCGCTCTCAGTTCCTCTCTCTCTCTCTCAGAAGTGGGGAGAGATGGGTGAGGTTTCCTACCGGTCACTCCCGAGAGAGGCCGAGGGTGACCGGGGACCTGCCTGCTGGAGCAGTGGGGCCAAGGGCAAGCAGGAGTGGCCTGTGGCCTTCCCTGCCTGGGCCTGCCCTGGGGTGAGGGGAGTCGGTAACATTCCTCCCATTGGACAGATGGTGAAACTGAGGCCCTCGTTCAGGATCACAGGACAAATGAGCAGCGGGGGGATGGGAGCGTGGAGTGTGGGCGTGAGAGCCCTGCCGCCTGCCTCGCGGCCCCGGCCTCTGGGCTCTGCACCGGCCAGGCACTGGGCCTTCTGGGTAGAACAGTGACTTCCAACCCGTGTGCCTCGAGAATTTTTTAAAATGCGCGGGACCTGGCTATTTAGTCAGGAGCACTGACCCCTTTTCCCTTAGGCTGTCGGGGAAATAAGTTATAGCAGCCAACACAATGGCCATCCAGTGTGAGGGAGTCAAAAATCAAAATTATACTTCTTTTTTTTTTTTTTTTGTCACATTGGCAAAAAGCATATGTTTTGGTGTCAGCCACAGAGTTGTAGTGCTTCGTGTGGATGCCACATGAGCCAGGTGGGACATCGCTGGGATAGAGGGACACAGCGGCCCACGTTGGCATCCTCGTCCTCAGCTTTGAGCTGTGTGGTCTCAGGCAAGTCAGTTCGTCTCGCTGACCCTCAGTTTCCTCATCTGTAAAGTGGGGACAGGACGGTAAAAATGCCTGCTCCGTGGGGGTATGGGAGGCCTGAATGAGCATGATGGTGAAAGGCTTGGTATCTGGGGCTGTGGCCGCTGTCACTGCCCTGGGCGCCACGATGCCAGCTCTGGCCCGCCCGGTGGGGGCGGAGCGGATGTTGGTTTGGACTCATTTTTGCTTTCTCTCCCGCCTCCCCGCCCTCTAGGTCCTGTAGTCCAAAATCAGAGCACTGCCTACCAGACGATTGACTCGACAGAGGCCCCCGCAGACTTTTATGCTGGCCTGGAGGGCAAGGGTCACACCTCCCACGGCTACTGAAGCCAGCCCCGCTGCCCTGGCCGCTTGGGGGCCAGAAGCACAAACTGCAGGGGAGGTTGGACGCCCCCTCTCTTGGGCCTCATGTGGAGCATGTTCTGTTCCCCATCTCAGGTGTGGCCCGAACGGCTGGCTCTGTGCACACAGCTGTCCCACGCTCCCTGTGACCCCCACCCGCCTCCAGGCACCTCGCTGGTCCCAGGCTGGGAACCGTGGTCACTTTCCTCACCTCCGCCCCTAGCTGCTCTGTGCAGGCCCCAGGCCATGCCACTTCTTAGCCGGCGGAGTCCAGCCTCTAAGGGCCAGTGACGCCCCCGCCCTGGGCCCCCCCGCAGTTGTCGAGTCCCTCCCCCCCATCTCTCTACCCCCAGCCCCGCAGAAGGCGGTCTGTGGTATAGGGTGAGGTGCTGTGCTTCTCACTGCCTGGTCACTTGGTTCTGGAAACCCTGGGGCAGGAGGCAGGCAGTGTCCACTAAACTTGAGACCCATGACAGCCCCCAGCCTCCCTTCCCAGAGGCATGGCATTAAAGTTTGGGGAATTGTGTAGCTGGATGTGTGCTGAGCCGTGTTTTATCTAGGTCTATGTGCCTGGACCGCGTGGCCTGTTCTGCTGGGGCGGGGAAGGCAGGGGCCCGTGACCCGAGGCCTGTGGTCAGTGTAGCAGATGCATGTCTGCATCTCCGAATCAGTGGGCTTGGGGGATGGTTTCAGTCTTGCTCCACCATTGATTGGCTGCATGTCCTTGGGCCACTCAGCCTCTCCGGCCTCAGTGTCTCTGGGCGGGGACCGATGCCTGCCAGAGGGCGGTGATGCAAGTGAAATGTGAAGTGCCCGGCCCCGAGGGGCTCCCGAGGGAGCAGCTGAGTTGGTGGTGGGGTTGCTCCTCCCGCCTGTGGTGATGTGGGGTCAAGAGATGACAGGTGACCCCTTCCTGGCTGACCCTGGGTCTTGGCCTCAGAGCTGACCGGAACTGATGCTGTCCAGAAGCTCAGAAGGTCCTTTGGCCTGGGCCCCGCCCCACTGACTGGGGTGGGCATTGACTACTGGGCCCCAGGCGCCTGGCCCATCCTGGCTTGTCCCCAGTACAGAGGGGTAAGGCCTCGTGCCCAGCCCCCAGACTTACAGTCCTCTTACTGGAACTTCGGTCACGCACTGCTGGCCTTTCAGCACCTGAGACAGTGCCCGCCCCAGTAAGTGCTTTATGATGGGGTGGAATGAATGGATGAAGAGAAACTGCAGGAAATCAAACACAAACATTGAGATCCCCAAAGCAGCCAGATAGAAAAGACAGCATCCGAAAAGGAACGACAATTACACCAGCAACCGATGACCTGCCAGCAACCACACTACACGTCAGAAGACAGGAGTGTTATCATCAAAGCGGCGATAAAAATAACCACCTGAAGTTGTGTGATAGTGAGTTAACTTTCAAGGATGAGGATGAAATAGACATTTAGAGAAATGACAATGAGTTTATCACCAACACACCTTCAATGCTGAAACGTATAAAGAAGCTTTGTGGAAGAAGGATATTTTTCTATAGGGATATCTGAGCAGCATGAAGGAAATAGTAAATGTGGCTTAGCATTCATGACAATAATAATATAGTTCAGGGGGAGTTGGTCAGAAACCATGTTATAAAGTCTTCAGTTTTTGGTTTGTCTACTTGTTCGTTTGTGTGTGTGTGTGTGTGTGTGTGTGTGTGTGTGTGTGTGTTTTGTTGAGAGAGGGTAAATAACTGAATTAACTTCAGATTGTCAATTGAATACGCAAATTAAAATGTGTTGGATAACCACTGAAAGAATAGAAATAGGATGTGTAAGTTCCAAGACATCTGTAAGGGGGGAAAACATGAGCAAAAAAGACAAGAAAGGAGAAAACATGAAGTTTGATCATTAACGGGCACAAAAATGAGATGGCTTGTATACGTCATCATCATATCATTGTACTTTTTTTAAAAATTCCAGCCATATTGTGTCATAAGAGACCCACCTAAAATATATGGACACAGCAAGGCTGAAAGTAAAAGGATGCAAACATTAATCGGGGCAAATAACCCCAACAGAGTTGGTGCAGCTGGATTAGGATCAGAACAAGGTGACTTGAAGGCAAATGTTTCACTGGAGACAACGGAAGAACAAGACCTGAATGCCAAAAGGTTCCATCCAGCAGGTTTACGAGGAGTTACTGGATGCAAAGACTTAAGAAGGAAGTAACCACACACACACACACACACACACCTTCAAGATCTGCTTTAGGGTTTGAAAGGCAGTCTGGCATTTAGGGGGTGTCAACACTCCCCTTTTACAGATCAGGACCCCGAGGTTCAGAGGAGTCGGGGGCTCATCTGCAGTCGCCCAGCAGCAGAACCCATCTCGATGGGGTCTTCTGCCCCCTGGCCCAGTGCTCTCTCCCAGCGGCTGGCAGACAGGGGAAGCAGCACAGTTGGGCCAAGGGAGGAGAGGGCGGGACGGGGTGGGGTGGGAACCGCAGGGACCAGGGCTTGGCCTGTGGAGTGAGTGCCTGCGGGAGGAGTGGGCAGGGCAGGCTCCGGCCAGTGTCGGAGGGACCCGAAGGCCCGCAGCCTTACAGGCCTTGCGCGGGGGAGACGTTTGCACGCGGTCCCGTGCTCGGGCGGCTGGATGTACAGCGGGGTGCAGGGGCGGGACCCTCGGCGGGGGACCCATGGCCACGCCCCCTCGGGCGCAGGCATGCGCAGACAGCGTCGGCCACGCTCACAGCTGGGGACCACCGACCCCAGAGCATCCTCCTGGAGGCGGCGAGGCAGCCGCGGGGGGGAAGGGCGGCGCGCTCTCTGACGTCGCCCCGCGCCTGCCTAGTTGGATCGTTGGCCGTGCTGGGCCTGGCCGAGGGCCCCTCTGGGTTCAACCCAGCTGGCTGAGAGAGACCCGAGGAAAACAGGTGCTCTGGAGGGCAAGTGCGGGACAGGAGAGCTGTCCCAGGTTCTTTTGGTGGGAAGAGGAGGGGTGGGGTTGTGGGGGTAAGAAGGGGTATGTGGACTGAGCTAACTGCTGTCCTTAACTGGGCAGGGATGGGGGAGAGTGGTAAGGGAGTTAGGAGCAGATAGGGAGCCCTGCATGGGGTGAGAGAGGAGGGGTGGGGGTAAGGGGACAAAGAGGTATGTGGATTGAGCTGTCTCAAGTATCCTTTGGAAAGAGGTGGGTTGTCCTGGTAAGGAAGCCCCTGCCCAGGTGGGCAGGTAGCCCCTTTAAGCCCCAGCTTCCTCTTCTGTAAAGACAAGGACCTAATTCTTTGGGCTGCGGTGCAGAGAAAATGATATGAGCCCCTACTGTGTGCCAGGGACTACTCCATAGGCCGTGGATACAGCACGGAAAAGAGACAATAGCTCACTGTCCACCAGAGGGAGAAAAGCAGACGCTCATGTCTTCCGTCGGTTGGATGGTGCTGAATCACGGAGGAAAAGAGAGAAGGGAGTGAGGAGGGGGCTGTGGCTGGAGAGACAGTGGTCAGGGAAGAGCTCACGGTGGTGTCTGAGGCAGAACTGGAAGGAGAGAGAGGGAAAGAGAGTTCCAGGCTGAGGGAACAGCAGGTGCAAAGGCCCTGAGGTCGGAACAGGCAGGGCATTTTGGAGGAACCACCAGGAGGCTGGGTGTTTGGAGCAGAGAGAGCAAGGGAAGAGGGGTCGGGATGAGGTTGGTAAGGTGACTGGCGGCCAGGTGTCTGGGGCAGGGGTTTTCCATGTACAATATGGTGATTTGGCATTTTTATGCCATATAGATCATGCCACTAATTCTGTTAGCCAACTGTCACCTTATAAACTTACCACAATGTTATTGACTCTATTCCTCTTTCCCTTTTCACCCATTTCCCAAACCTCTCCCTTCTTATGCAAACTTTCTTTCCTTCTTTCTTTCTTTCTTCGTGTTTTTTTTTTTTTTTTTTTTAGAAAAGGTGTTTATTTTTTAAAAACAAACAAACAAAAAAAAAAACAAGCTGAAACTGGTTTGGCTCAGTGGTAGAGCATCGGTCTGCGGGCTGAAAGGTCCTGGGTTCGATTCCGGTCAAGGGCATGTACCTTGGTTTCGGGCACATCCCCAGTGGGGGTGAGCAAGAGGCAGCTGATCGATGACTCTCTCATTGATGTTTCTAACTCTCTCTATCCCTCTCCCTTCTTCTCTGTAAAAAAATCAATAAAATATATTTTTTAAAAATAAAATAAAATAAATAAAAAACAAACAAACATATTTTATTGATTTTTTACAGAAATTGAAGGGAGAGGAATAGAGAGTTAGAAGCATCGTCAGCTGCCTCCTGCACACTCCCTACTGGGGATGTGCCCGCAACCAAGGTACATGCCCTTAACCGGAATCGAACGTGGGACCCTTCAGTCTGCAGGCCGACGCTCTATCCCCTGAGCCAAACCAGTTAGGGCTATGCAAACTTTCTTAAAAGCCAGAAAGCAGATGTTTTAGGCACTGTGGGCCACAGGCCTCTGCTGGAGTTACTCCGCCACGCAGTGAGAAAGTAGCCACAGACAAGCCATGAACCAATAGGCTGGCTGTGTCCCAACGGCCTTGCAGCCTTCCGTGAGGACGAAGTGGGTTGGGGAGCCCGTGGGGCTGTTTGAGTTGAGTCAGGACATGCTCTGATCTCCCTTTGCAGGATCGCTCCGGCCTCCTGGGGAGTAGGCCGCAGGTGTGGGGTGAGGACAGAGTGGGAGACCAGTCAGGACGCAAGAGGCAACGGTCCTGGACCTGGGCAGGTGGGGCTGAAGGCGGTTCCCAGTATCTTTGGAAGGTACAGCAGAGGCGATTGGCTAATGGATTGCAGGTGATGCGAGGGAAGGAGAAGCCAGGGTGGCTCCAGGATTAGCCTCTGGGCCGGTGGTCGGCAAACTCATTCGTCCACAGAGCCAAGTATCAACAGGACAACAATTGACATTTCTTTGGAGAGCCAGATTTTTTAAACTTAAACTTCTTCTAACGCCACTTCTTCAACATAGACTCGCCCAGGCCGTGGTATTTTATGGAAGAGCCGCACTCAAGGGGCCAAAGAGCCGCAGTTTTCGGACCACGGCTCTGGGCCAGCAGGAGGCTAAGCTGCCATTCTGGGAGAAGGGGGATGGGAGTCTGCCTTAGACCTGTCTGGAGCTGAGGTCACTTGGGGTGCAAGCATCAGGGGAGGAAGGAGGTCCTGGCATCTCCAATCCTAAGAGCTCAGGAGAAGAGGGACCAGCAGAGACTGGGGAAGAGACGCCAGCAGGAGGGACCGAGGCCGAGAGGTGGCTTCCAGGAGGGCTCCCAGGAGGAGGTGACGACTGTCCTGCTGAGAACCGGCCGGCCGGGGACCTGCATCTCAGAGGTCGCCTGGAGGAAAGCCGCTTTGAGTGAGGGTGGCTGATTGCAGGGAGTTCATTGGAGAGGGGGATGGGGGGGCAGAAGGATCGGGATTTGGGTGTGATGAGGAGGGGAGAAGTGGTCTGGGACCTGGAGGCTGGAGGGGGGGAGGGGTGTGGTGTTTCTGCTTGTGGTCTAAGAGCTGATGGGAGTGAGTCAGTGAGGAAGGGGGAAGTGTCAGGGCAGAAAAAAAACTAGGTTTAAAATTATTAAATTTATTCTTAGAAGTGTAAAAGTTTATTAATTAAAAAAAAAAAGGAGATTGAAAACCTGATGAACAATAATAGCTGTTCATTGTAGTAGAGTCGGCGATATGGGAGGGGAGTGGACTGACTGACCTCGGGGAAAGGGGGAGTGGTGGAGGCGGGAAGAGACTGAACATAAACCGTGCACCTATGGATGAGGACAATGGGGGGTGGGGTGGGAACCTGGTGGAGGGGGGAAGAAATGAGGAACCTTTGTAATAATATGAACAATAAAGATTGATTTTTAAAAAATAAAATTAAAATAAAATAAAATAAAAAAGGAAGGGGGAAGTGGAAATGATGGGGGAGGGAACCTGTGTCCCGAGCGCCACCTCCCCCACCCTCCCCCCACCCCCCGCCAGGCCCGGTGCCCTGTGTTGACTGAGTCAGCAGTGGAGCGTGGGCAGTGTGGTTCCTTTTCCTGGTTCAGAGAACGGCACTGTGGAAGCTGGTGATGGTCCTGGGAGATGCCCTGGGGAGGGGAGACAGAGTGGTACCCAGAGATTGGGGGAGGGTCTGGCTGGCAATGGGACCACACAGGAGGCGGAGGGGCAGGAGAGGCAGTGGCCATGGAACTGGTGGGGGAGCTGGTGGCATTTCTCTTCCGATGGCCGTGTTTGGGGGGGATAGGTCCGCTGAAGGGGGTGTGGGGAGAAGAGGCGGCAGAGATCTGAGGACAGGGGGACGTGTGAATGAGTGTCTAAGAGGGTGGGGAGGGATTGTCCATGTGGATGGCGAGCTCACCGAGAGCTTAGGTGTGAGAAGGAAATGTCAGTGAGCCCGGCAGCCGGCGTGGCTCAGTGGTTGAGCATCCACCTATGAACCAGGAGATCACAGTCCAGTCCCTGTCAGGGCATAGGACTGGGTTGTGGGCTCAATCCCCAGTGTGGGGCGTGCAGGAGGCAGCCAATTGATGATTCCCTCTCATTGATGTTTCTATCTCTCTCTCCCTCTCCCTTCTTCTGTAAAATTAATAAAAATAGATTAAAGCCGAGACCGGTTTGGCTCAGGGGTAGAGCGTCGGTCTGCGGACTGAGGGGTCCCAGGTTCGATTCCGGTCAAGGGCATGTACATTGGTTGCGGGCACATCCCCGGGGGGGTGGGGGGGTGGTGTGCAGGAGGCAGCTGGTCGATGTTTCTCTCTCATCAACGTTTCTAGCTCTCTATCCCTCTCCCTTCCTCTCTGTAAGAAAAATCAATAAAATATATATATTTTTTAAAAAAACATTAAAAAAATAGATTAAAAAACACAAAAAAGGAAAGAAAGTCTCAGGGAGCAGGGAGCTGACATCTTCATGGACTGAGGGGTGACTTCCTGCGTGGAGCACCTGGGGCTGGAAACAGTGTGTTGGGGAGGAGGGAGGAGGAGGGAGGACATGGGGAGTGGAGACAGGAAACAGCCTCGCGCTCTCAGGGAGCCGGGCAGGGATGTTGGAGGACAGAGAAAGGGAGATGGAGAGGGGGTGGCATGGAGGCAGGCGAGGAGACCCCACGGGGCCTGGGCACGGCAGCTGGGGCCAGGCCGGAGGGCAGCCAGGGGTGCCAGGGAAGGGCGGGCTGTGGCCCAGGGCTGCAGGGTGGCCTGGTGGGAGCCAGGGCACCCCGTCCTCGTCCCTCAGATCTTGTCTGGAGCAGTGACACTGCTGCCACCTGGCTGGGCCCTGAGCCCATGGAGCTGAGACCCGCCGCCAGCCAGAAGGAGAATGTGTCCCCCCGGCCTGGGACCCCCCGGAGGCCAGGCAAGAGGCTTGGGGTCTGGGTTGGGAGGTGGCAGGCACAGGGTCGTGGCCCAGAGCTCCTTTCCCAGACCGGCCGGCCCGGAGCCTCCACAGTTCCCGGGATTAGCCGGATGGGGCCCGCAGGGCCAGGACGCGGCCTTCCCTGCCTGGGGCCCGAGGGAGGGTCAGGGAGGTGGGGAGGGGGGTCAGGAGGAGGGTGGACGGAGTAGGCCTGGCTGTTCCCTGGCTGAAAGGGGCTCCCACAGGTAGGTGGGTGCCAGGGGCGGGTGGGCTGGGAAACGTCCGAGTTCAGGTGCCTGGGGCTCCCTGAGGCCACAGAGCCCTGCTGCCACGGGTGGGAGCCGCCCAAGGACAAGTTCAGATTCTGACTCCCATGCCAGTTTCTCTGTTCTGGCTGTGTGACTGTGAGCAAGTGGCTCAGCCTCTCTGAGGCTCCTAGCTACACAGTTTTTAAAATATATATATATTTTTTTTAATTGATTTTTTACAAAGAGGAAGGGAGAGAGATAGAGAGTTAGAAATATCGAGGAGAGAGAAACATCGATCAGCTGCCTCCTGCACACCCCCTACTGGGGATGTGCTCGCAACCAATGTACATGCCCTCAACCGGAATCGAACCTGGAACCTTTCAGTCCACAGGCTGACACTCTGAGCCAAACCGGTTTCTGCTCTGCACACTTTTATGGCCCACAATATACTCGCCTGCCTTCCCAGGCTTCGCACCAGCGCCAGGCCGTGAGGGCTGGGGGCAGTCGGAAGGAGGGCTCTGAGCCCCACCCCAGGATCCCCAGAGCAGCCTTCAGCTGCTTGATATGCTGGGTCTTGCTTTCACCTTCAGCTGTGTCTGCTCCCCCCACCCCCATCACTTCTTGGCTCAAGCTGGAAATCAGGGGTTGTTCTTCCCTCTTCCCTTTGCTTCGCTCCTCTAAGCCTCCACAGCGGCTCTGAATCTGTCTTCTCTCCACCTTCCCTGCCTCCCCAGACCTGGTTGTCTTCCCCTCAACAGCCTCTTGTCCCCCAGTCTCCCTCTGCCCTCCGTGCCTCTGACCCTGCCCCGTCCCTGCTCCAATCAGCCAGGCACGGTCAGATCATGTCACTGAGACGCCCAGGCACTGCCCGTTGTCTGCAGAGCTGGCACCTCTGCAGTCCCGGCTGTCTCCTCCCTGGGACCCTGTCCCTCCCAGCTCTCAGGCCTGACGCCCCCACACCTGTCCCACCCAAGCCCTGAACACTGCATGGCCCGCCCAGGGCATGACTGTCTCTACTCTCTTTAGAGCAATGGAGACATCCAAAGAGCCTGGGTGTTGTCCTGGGTAGTGGACGTGGCCCGTGGGTGCCCAGGGGCCCGGCTGAGAGAGGAGAGCCTGCCACCACCCCCTCGCCGAGGGCAGCCCTTCGCCAGGAGCCCTGCCACGTCCAGACCAACCTGGCCAGCCCTAGGCCCCGCCTGGGCCCTGCCCTGAAGGACACGACCGGCCGGCTGGTCAACTCAAGGTTCCAGCAGCAGAGCAACCTCCAGCCGCTGGGAGCCCTCCCCCTGTGGGGGGTGCGGGTGTCCGCCGTCCAGCAGAGCAACCTGAGCGCCCGGGAGGCCGCCCCGGCCGGGTGTGGGAGTCTCCGCAGCCCCCACCCCGGGTCGGAGCCCCAGGAAAGCTTCTGGCCTCACCGAGTGCCCCGGGGAGGCCCCCAGCCCCCAGGGCCACAGGCTCAACCACCCTCCATCCTGAAGCCGTCCTGGCTTCTGGCCACAGACGTGCCCTGCCCACGCTTCAGGCCCACCCTGCGCTGTGCCCCCACTGACGGGCACACACGGCCAGGCCCCACATCCTGGGGTGGCCTGGGCACCTGGACCTCCAGGTTCACGGGGGAGCCCCTCACCCTGGACGACCTGGCTGTCCCCACCAAGAGCCCGGCTCGGGCCCCACCCCAGGCTGCCACCTTCCGGCTGGAGCCCTGGACCAGCGGTGGCCAGGCCCGCCCTGCTGGCCCCCAGCCTGTTCTCGCTCTCTGTGACCAGAGAAAAATACTCCCCCGAGATCTCAGGGGAGCCGGGGGTCCCCCAGAGACCCCGGGGATCCAGGCTGGGCTCCCCGGCTTTCAGGCCTTCAGCCAGCCCGCGTCCCCACCGCAGACCGCTTTGGAGGTGCTGGCTGGGGGCTTCCTTGACCCCGTGCAGGGGGTCCTCCCTGCCTACCCCCCAAGGCGAGGAAAGAGGCCTGCTTGCAGCAGGGGACAGACGGGGGACCCTCTGCTCCCTCAAGAGGTGGGCAGCAGAGAGGCCAGACTGTGGTCCCCATGTTCTCCGGGGCAGTCTGGGGTGCCCTCCCAGGGCAGGAAGGAGGGGAGAAGGTCCCCAGGGAGCAGGGCTGCGGGGGGAGGAAGAGAGGCCGCTTCCTATGCGGGCCTCGGCCCAGCCACTGGTGCCTGCAGGTAGAGGCCAGAGCAGTGTGGGAGCAGGATTTTGGGGGGCTCCAAGGGGCCATTCATCAGAAAGGGAGGCCTTGGGGCAGGCTGGGCAGGGGTGTCTGTCCCGTTTGCTTCCGGCCTGAGAGCTGCCTTGTGCTTTGTTTTCCAAGAACAAAGCTGGAAATCCTGTGAACCTGGAGTCGGAGAGGGCGGAGAGGGCCCGGTGAGGCCACAGCTGGGCTGGGACAGCTCCTTTCCCTTCTGCCTGGGCGAACGGACACTGGGGCCTCATAGCAGTTGGCCCTGATGGCAGAGCCACACGGGACTTAGGGAGAGGGACTTCCACACTGTCCCTGCTGGGGAGGGCAGGGGCCTCCGGGCCCCCAGAGAAGGGCGGACAGCAGCTCCTGGGATTTGTCACTGCGGGCCATTCTCCCGCCTCCAGAGGGTTCTTGTCTGAGATTTCCAAGCCATCAATGGGGGAAGCCCTTTCTGCTGGCCCTGGGGCTGGGGCCCACCCCTGACCAGCCTGTCCATCCCCAGCCGGCAGCTGCTGTCCAGATGGTTCGGGGCGTGGCAGCGCCTGGTGCGGAGGCGGCAGGCGGTGGCCCTGGGCGGCTGGCGGCTGCTGCCCGGGGGTCCGCAGGCTCCGCGCTGGGCACTGCGACTCCGGAAGGCCCGCCTGGAGGTGGCGTGCGGCTGCCGCAGGAGCGCCCTGCTGGCCCAGAGCTTCCAAAAGGTTTGGGGACTTCGGGGCTGGGTGGAGGGGAGGGGATGAAAAGCCGGTGTGTGCGGGAGGAGGCTCTTCCGGGCTCGGCTTCTACCTTCCGAGGGACCCCCACGCCTGAACCAGCTGTGCCTCCGCTAATAGCCTGCCTCCACTGCTGTCTTTCTTCCTTCCTTCCTTCCTTCCTTCCTTCCTTCCTTCCTTCCTTCCTTCCTTTCTTTTTTTCTTCCTCCCTCCCTCCCTCCCTCCCCCTCCCTCCCCCTCCCTCCCTCCCTCCCTCCCTCCCTCCCTCCCTCCCTCCCTGTCTCTCTTCGTGACTTTCTCTTTTTCTTTCTTTCTTCTTTCATTCTTTCTTTCTTTCTTTCTTTCTTTTTCTTTCTCATTTTTTGTCTGTGTGACTATGGGCAAGTTTCCTAACCTCTCTGTGCCTTGGTCTTCTATCTCTAAAATGGGACGATAATTGACCATAAGCCTCAGGGCTGTTGGTGAGGTTACTTGAACAAAGGGGCTCGGCTCTCTGCCCAGCACCCAGCTCGCCCTCTACCCCACACTGTCAGAGTACTGTGTTTCCCTAGTGGTCTGCAGGCCAGGCCAGGGAGGGCGCCCCTGTGTCTTCCCTCCTTGGGAAAGGGGTGCTGTGGGGGGACCCAGCCCCAAGTTCAGTCTCCCAAGGAGAGCCCTGCCCCGGGGCTCCCTCTCTCCGTTCATTCATGCATTTCCAAGGAGGCAGGGCTGTCTAGTGGTTAGCGCATAGGCTGTGGAGTCTGATAGAAGCATTAGGCCCCTGCCCCTGCCTGGTGCTCCCTCTCAGAGCCCATTGGAGGCTGCAGCCAATGTCCCTCTTCCCCCCCAATCCAGTGGAGAAACCTGGCTCGGCAGCAGACACAAGGGCAACCCCACATCCAGGCTGGCCCAGGGTCCCCACCCTCTGGGGGAGGCCAGCCCCCAGGTCCCTCGGGAAGGAAGCCGGTGGTGGACCCCACCCAGAGAAGCAGGTAATTGGGGGGGAGGACACCCTGGGTGGGTCAGAGTGGCCGGGCAGTGCTGGTAGCCCCCCTCCCCGTCCCCGAGTTCCTCTCCCAACGAGAGAATGAGAATACAACCGGCAGACGTGGACAAGGATTTGTGCAGACAGATGTCCATCTCAGCGTTGTTTATCCTTGTGAAAGCTTTGAAACGGCCTCAGAGCCCAGCGCGTGAGACAATTCTCATTTAACTGCATGATGACTGGCAACCATGCAGCATGCGATGAAGATTTAATATTTTCCTCACCACTCTCTTTTCCTTTATTTTTCTTTTCAATACCTTTAATTTCTATTTCTAAATCATGACAGTCATGCATGCTTGATTTGAAAACATATATCCAATATAGTTGGAAATTCCATCCCCCTCCCCAAGGATCCCCATTCCTGCAAGGATTTTTATGGATACGTGTGTAGAATTTTTAAAATTTTATTGATTTCAGAAAGGAAGGAAGAGGGAGAGAGAGAGAGAATCATCCATGATGAGAGAGAATCATGGGTTGGCTGCCTCCTGCAAGTCCCCCACTGGGGATCAAAGCCAGCAGCCCAGGCATATGCCCTTGACCGTAATTAAACCTGGGACCTTTCAGTTTGCAGGTCGATGCTCTATCCACTGAACCACACCAGCCAGGGCTGTGTGTAGGAAAAATGGTTATGACAATGTTAAATGAAAAAGAAAAAGGAATAAATAGTATCTAGGATATTTTTTCTATGCACCTAAACAGTGCATAAGAAAAGACCAGAAGGAAAAAAAAAACTAAAATGTTGCATACTAATGTGAATGGACTTAACACTACTGAACTGTCCACTTGTTTTTATTTTTATATTTTATTGTTTTTTTTGCAGAGAGGAAGGGAGAGAGATGGAGAGCCAGAAACGTCGATGAGAGAGAAACATCAACCAGCCGCCTCCTGCACACCCCCCACCGGGGATGTACCCGCAACCAACGTACATGCCCTTGACCAGAATCGAACCCGGGACCCTTCAGTCCGCAGACCGACGCTCTACCACTGAGCCAAACTGGTTTCGGCTAAACTGTCCACTTAAAAGTGGTTAAGATGGCCCTCGCCGATTTGGCACAGTGGATAGAGCGTCAGCCCGAGGACTGAAGGGTCCCGGGTTCGATTTAGTCAAGTGTAACCGCCTCGGTTGCGGGCTCCTCCACGGCTCCTCTGAGCACATGTGGGAGGCAACCAATTGATGTGTCTCTCTCACATCGATGTTATTCTCTGTTTCTGTCTCTCCCTTCCACTCTAAAAGTCAATGGAAAAATATCCTCCGGTGAGGATTCACAACAACAAAAAACCGTTAAGACGGTCACCCCAACCTCCAGAAAAATAAAATGCAAATAGTGCTTATCTCTGAAACAGATTAGGTTGGCTATTTTTTTTCTTCATTTCCTCAATTTTCCACTACTGTGATGTATTGTTTTTGTTCTAATTTTTAATTTAAAAAATGTGTTTAAAATAATTATTTAAATAATATCCATTTAATACATGTCTGTTATGAAAAATCCAAATAGTATGGAGGAGAGTGAAGCAAAAGCAGAGCCCCCTCCCCAAGTCCCTGTGTGGTCAGGCACACCTGCACTTCCCAGAGAGAACAGCAGGGGGCTCAGCGCCCTGTGCTCCTGGGGGCAGGCAGGGTCCGCCCCGGCTGGGGTGGACAGGTTGGATCGTGTGCCCTCCCTGGGCCCTGGGCATCAGTTTCTCTCTGGGCAACTTCACTCTCAGCCCAGGAAGCCTGAGGGAGGAGGCAGGAGCCCAGCCAGTTCCATCATGTTCTGGGCCAAGACCAGATGGAGGAGACAGGAGGGTCCAGATCCTGCAGGCCCTGCAAAGACTGGCTGGTGAGATGTGGGCGCTGGGAAAGCAGAGCAGATGGAGGTGGGCAGGGCTGAGTCCCCATGCAGGGCAGGGCAGGGGGTCCTGAGTGGACGAGTGTTCGCTGAGCACCTACTCTGGCAACTTCCCAGACGCGATCTCATTTGAGCCCCATGGTGACCTCGGCGAGGTGTTGTGCCCATTTCACTGATGGGAAGACTGAGGCACGGAGAAATTAAGTGACTAGCTTGAAGTCACACCGTGATATCTGTGTGCCACTGACGTTGGCACAGGTCCAGCAGAAGCTTGAGCGTTAGACCTGGACAGTCCCTTAGACATCACTCCCTCACAGGGGGACAAGCCCAGAGAGGAAGAGCCACTGGCCAGAGGCCACCCAGGTGTCCCGGCCCTCCTGGCCCCAGTCCCCCCTCTGCTCACTCCCTCTCCCACCCCTCCCTTTACAGTCTTCCTCCAGGAGGAGGAGTGGGCCTGGCCGGAGCAGGAGGAGGAGGAGGAGGAGGAGGAGGAGGAGGAGGAGGAGGGCCAGGGAGAGGCCTCTAGGGCCGCGCTGAGGACTCAGAGCACGGGGAGGTGCCCCGAGGCCCAGTGCTCTCCTGCCGCAGATACAGCCTGGGCGCCCCCCTCGGTCCCCCCGCATCAGAGAGCCTGGCTCCGCAGGTAGGCAGAAGGGGGCGGTGGGAGGGGGGCCGCCTTCCTTGAAGCAGCCAGTGGGATGCAGCTGGGAGGTGCCCTTTGCGTTCTTGCCTCCTCCTCGTCTTGAGACAAAGATGAGAGAGAAATGGAAGCAGCTGCCCTTGACCGAGAGCCTGAGACCTGCCAGAAACCACCCAGGAGCCGGGGTCCGTTATAAGTAAAGCTGATGCCAGTCGTCACCCGTCCCACGTGGAACCCCTGGCCGGGGGTGGGGGTGGGGGGGCAGACAGGAAATTAGCGGTCACAAGGGGGGTGCGTGCACACCACCCGGGTGTAGTGCTGTGAAGGGAAGAAACACGGATCTATGAGGTTTTTTCCTTGTTAACTTTCAAATTACGGGACATTTGTCTTACACGAAAGTAAAGAAAATGGGATGATACACCTGTGTGTCTCCCAGCTTCGAGGAAATCACCTCCTGAGGAAGCTTGTTTGGGATGTACTCCGACAACCCCCCCCCCCAAACACACACACACACACATTATCATGAGGCAACCAGGGCGACCAGACGTCCCGCTTTTGGCAGGACAGTCCTGATTTTTAACACCAGTGTCTGTAGCATATCTGAGAGATCAGGACTCTTACACAGCATGACCGCAAGGCCATGCTCACACCTGGAAAACGAACAGCAGTTCCTTAGTCCCAGCAAAGATCCGCTCAGGGTTCGAATTCCCCGCTGTTTCACAAGCATCCGTATTGCTCCAGTTTGTTTGAATTGGGATCTAAATGAGGTCCACTTGTTGGCATTGACCAATAGGTCATTCAGGTCTTTGTGAGCTGTGGGTCCCCTGAACTCTCTTTTCCTTGCCATTTACCTGCTGAAGACACCATATACTTGTTCTCGGTCTGCGTTTTGCTGATTGCACCCGCCTGAGAGTTTTTCCTGTGAGAACATTTGAACCGGTGGTTCTCAATCTTCCTAATGCCTCGCCCCTTTAACACAGTTCCTCATGTTATGGTGACTCCCAACCATAACATTATTTTCGTTTCTGCTTCATAGCTGTAATGTTGCTTCCTGTTATGAACCGTAATGTAAATATCTGTGTTTTCCGATGGTCTCAGGCTCTACAGCAGCGGTTCTCAACCTGTGGGTCGCGACACGATGAGAACCGCCAGCAGGGTCGTCTAAGACCATCAGAAAACATGGAAATTTTCATTAGGATTCATAACAGTAGCAACATTACAGTGATGAAGTAGCAACGAAAATGATGTTATGGTTGGGGGTCACCACCACATGAGGAGCTGGCTTCAAGGGCGACAGCATTAGGAAGGTGGAGAACCGCTGATTTAAACAGATGGAGCTGACCTCGACCAGGGCCAGCGGGGGTGTGAAGGATGAGTGGTTGAGAGGAGGGAGAGCAGGTGAGGGCACCAGGAGGCGGGAACAGCATGTGCAAAGCACAGGAACCTCCAAGAACAGCAGACAGGTTGCAGCCCTGTTTGTACCGGGGGGGCGAGGGGGGGGGGGACTGAGTTGGGAGGGTGTGTGTGGGGGTTTGAGATGAAGTTGGAAAGGTGTGGGGAGTACCTTGCAGGCTTGGGGAGGAGTTGACATTTTATCATATAAGCAAAGGGCTGCCGCTGGAAGATTTTAGCAGGGGAATCAAATGTTTTGATTTGAGATTTAAAAAAAAAATCACCCCAGCCGAAACTGGTTTGGCTCAGTGGATAGAGCGTCGGCCTGCGGACTGAAAGGTTCCAGGTTCGATTCCAGTCAGGGCATGTTCCTTGGTTGCGGGCACATCCCCAGGGGGGATCGTGAAAGAGGTGGCTGATTGATGATTCTCTCTCATCGATGTTTCTGACTCTCTGTCCCTCTCCCTTCCTCTCTGTAAAAAGTCAATGATATATATATATATATATATATATATATATTTTTTTTTTTTAATCACTCTGGATACTGAGTAGGAACTGACTGGAGGGGCCAAGAGTGGATGAGGGCAGCCAGGCAGGAGGCTGCGGGGGCCGTCCAGGCACGTAGAGGCGATAATGTGAAGGCCTTCCTGCAGCCCCATTTTACAGAGGAGAGACTGAGGCCCAGAGAGGTGAGGTGGTGAGGCTGGCGCTTGGCAGGAGGTGCGGCCTTTACAACCAGCGCCGGCTCTTCCTCCCGGCTCTCCCAGGTGCTTCGGGGCCTGGCTGCAGGCGGAGGGAAGACGGGCCCAGCACCAGGAGCCCCTGGCTGACCGGGAGCCTCTGGCTGACCGCCAGCTGGGAGCCCTGCAGACGTGCCTGAACCGGTGGGTGCGGGTGGAACAGCTCCGGGCTTCGGAAGGGGCCAAGGGGACTCAGCGGTCCCTCTGCCGGCGAAAGGTGGGTGAGCAAGGAGACCGAGGGCTCCTTCCTCTTCCCTCCACCCGTCACCTAAGGCCGTGGTCAGCAAACTGTGGCTCTTAAGCCCCTTGAGAGTGTGGCTCTTCCACAAAATACCCCGGCCTGGGCGAGCCTGTTTTGAAGAAGTGGCATTAGAAAAAGTTTATGTTTTAAAAATGTGGCTCTCAGAAGAAGTTTCAGTCATTGTACTGTTGTATTTGGCTCTGAGTTTGCCGACTGCGGACTTGAGGCCCTCCCGCAGGGGCGCGGGGGGAGTTGACATGTGGATTGATGAGATGGGAGGTGCGGGGATTGGGCTGTGTCTCAGGGTGCAGCCTGGTGGCCCCGGGAGCGGCTGCGCCCCCCTAGCGGGACCTTGTTCTCGTCGGGAGCTCCCCTAAGCCAGAGACTTCCTTCGTCTTCCACCAGGAGGGGAGGTGGCCCTGCTGCCGGGAAGCGCCTGTGGTGAGTGGAACAAAGGCCTCTGTCCCCACTGAAGCCGACGGGGAGAGCTGGGGTCTGAGGGCCTGGAGGGGAGGGATTGGGGTGTGGGAGGGCGAAGTGCCCATGAGTGGAGAGGTCTTAGGGGAGGGCCTGAGGCAGAGGGAGGTCACGGGGACATGGCTGAGGGGTCTCTTGACCGCTTCTCAGGGAACGTGGACCTGGGCAGCTCAGCCCCTGGAGGGGCCGTATCCCATGGCCTGAGGAGGGTGGCTCAGGCCGAGGGGCCGCCCCGGGATCGAGGCCAGGGCTCCCGGCAGACAGCCTGCCCTCGAAGGGTCCTCCGAGGGGCACTGCTGCTCTGAGGGCGAGGCTCTCCCAGCGCCTGCGGGCCGAGTAGGTGTCCACGCAGGCTTGTGACTTAGGATTGAATGAATGGGCCTGGGGCAGGGGTGGGCACAGGGCAAGGGTGGGCCTGGGGCAGGGTGGGCCTGGGGCAGGGGTGGGCCTGGGGCAGGGTGGGCCTAGGGCAGGGTGGGCCTGAGGCAGGGGTGGGCCTGGGGCAGGGGTGGGCCTGGGGCAGGGTGGGCCTAGGGCAGGGGTGGGCCTGGGGCAGGGGTGGGCCCGGGGCAAGGGTGGGCCTGGGGCAGGGTGGGCCTGGGGCAGGGGTGGGCCTGGGGCAGGGTGGGCCTGGGGCAGGGGTGGGTCTGGGGCAGGAATGGGCACAGGGCAGGGGTGGGCCTGGGGCAGGGTGGGCCTGGGGCAGGGGTGGGTCTGGGGCAGGAATGGGCACAGGGCAGGGGTGGGCCTGGGGCAGGGTGGGCCTGGGGCAGGGGTGGGTCTGGGGCAGGAATGGGCACAGGGCAGGGGTGGGCACATAAGCGGGGCTCTTCCCAGTGGCTCCAGCAGGGGGCCTGGCCCACGGTGGTACCCAGCAGGTGGGGGGCAGGGGAGGTGGCCCAGGGACACAGACAGTGATTGAGCAGAGAGCGTGGGACAGACAGAGTCCTACTGAGGCGGCTGGAGCCTGATGGGGACGTTAGTCTGAAGCTCCTCTCCCTCTCCAATATCACTTCTCCCCCAGCTCCCAGCTCAGGGGGAGCCTCCTGGGGCGGGAACTGTATCCGCCTCCTTACCTCTGTCTCGGCACCGTGCAGGGGCCCATCCTGCGGCAGGCACGGGGTAAATACTGTAAAAGAACATGTGAAAGAGGTCTTATCCCCCGTCCCAGTGTGTCTCATCATACAGCTAGCCCAGTGGTTGGCAAACTCATTAGTTCAACAGAGCCAAATATCAACAGGACAACGATTGAACTTTCTTTGGAGAGAGAGCCACATTTTTTAAACTTAATCTCCTTCTAACGCCACTTCTTCAAAATAGGCTCGCCCAGGCTGTGGTATTTTGTGGAAGAGCCACACTCAAGGGGCCAAAGAGCCGCCTGTGGCTCGAGAGCCACGGTTTGCCAACGACTGAGCTAGGGAAACGGAAGCTAAGAGGGCTGAGCAGCTTGCTTTAAGTTGCACTGTGAATCAGGAGCAAGAAGGCGGGTTCAGAGCCCAGGCTGGTGGTTCTGTGTGAGGGGAGGGGAGGGGCCAGCCTCCCGCACACACAGGGCAGCAGGTGGATGTAATCACAGAGTTAAGGATTCTGGCCTTGAGAACAAAATAGATCACAAACGAAAGAAATGGAGGACAAAAAGCGTCTGGACATAGAGTTCAAATCTACACTTATAAGGTTTTTCAAGAATTTCCTAGAAAAGATGGATAAGACCTATGAGGATATGAAAAGAGATCAACTAGAATTAATAAGGAGTCATCAAGAAATGATAAGGGATCAACAAGAAATAAAGAATACATTGTCTGAAATAAAAAATATTTTACAGAGTCCTAAAAACAGAAGGGAAGATTGCAAGAATCAAGTCAAAGATTTGGAACATAAAGAGCCAGAGGACACTCCTCCACAGAAGCTAGAAGGCAAGAGAATCCAGAAAATTGAAGATAATGTAAGAAACCTCTGGGACAACTTCAAGCAAACCAACATCAGAATTATGGGAGTCCCAGAAGATGAGAGAGAACAAGATATCGAAAACATACTGAAAGAAATAGTGACAGAAAACTTCCCCCACCTGGTGAAAGAATTAGACTTACAAGTCCAGGAAGCGCACAGAACTCCAAACAAAAGGAATCCAAAGAGGACCACCCCAAGACACATCATAATTAAAATTCCAAGAGCAAAAGACAAAGAGAGAATATTAAAAGAAGCAAGAGCAAAGAAGGTAGTTACCTATAAAGGAGCACCTATACGATTGTCAGCTGACTTCTCAACAGAAACCATGCAGGCCAGACGGGAATGGCAAGAAATATTCAAGGTGATGAATAGTAAGAACCTACAGCCAAAGATAATCTATTCAGCAAAGCTATCACTCAGAATCGAGGGTCAGATAAAGAGCTTCACTAATAAAAAAAAGCTAACGGAGTTCATCAACACCAAACCAGAATTATATGAACTGCTGAAGGGGGTTCTTTCAGAAGAGAAAGTAAACAAAGATAAAAATTATGAACAACAAATATGTAACTATCAACAAGTGAATCTAAAGACCAAGGAAATTAAAAAAAAAATCTGATGAACAATAGTAACTGTTGAATATAATAGAATCAGAGGTATGGAAGGGGAGTGAATTGATACTTGGGGAAAAGGGGAGAGGGGGGCGTGGGAAGAGACTGAACATAAACTGTGCACCTATGGATGAGGACAATGGGGAGTGGGGAAAGGGCAGAGGGTGGGGTGGGAACCTGGTGGAAGAGAGTAATGGTGGGGGGAGGGAGAGGAACATGTGTAATAATATGAACAATAAAAACTTATTTTTAAAAAAATAATAAAATAAGGATTCTGGCCTTGAAAGCCATGCACCTGGCATCCATCAGTCCCGCACCTACTGGTCCACTTGGACCCTCAGTCTCTTTTAATGCACCCCTAAAACTCCAGGGAATCTCAGGTCATCACAGCCCTTCAGCACGCAGTCCTTACGCCCAGCCCATCCTGTACCTCTGGGCATCGGCATAGCTGGCCTCCCCCTGTGGCACACCTTTGCTGCCTGGTGGCCCAAGATAAGGGTTTTGGTTTTTTTTTTTTAATATATATTTTATTGATTTTTTTACAGAGAGGAAGGGCAAGGGATACAGAGTTAGAAACATCGATGAGAGAGAGATATTGATCAGCTGCCTCCTGCACACCTCCTATTAGGGATGTGTCTGCAACCAAGGTACATGCCCTCGACCGGAATCGAACCTGGGACCTTTCAGTCCACAGGCTGACGCTCTATCCACTGAGCCACACCGGTTAGGGCCCGAGATAAGTGTTTGGGTCCTCGGTCTGCGGCTTTTGGGGCTTAAGGAAACGCTCCCCCAGGCCTCAGGGGAAGTATTGATAGAAGCCCGGGTGTGGTTATGCCTGAGGCCCCTGGAGGCTGGGCTCCCTGAACCTGGGCCCAGTCCCATCCCTTACCCTCCGCACGGCCCCACCCTCCCAGGAACATGCCAAGGACCAGCCAGGTGACCCGCATAGGTGGGCGGGCTGTTGGTTTTAGCTGCTCAGGAGCATCACCTGGGAACTTAGGAATAGTCAGGAAGCCCGGCGTACCCAGCCCAGTGGGTGGGGATCTCTGGGGAGGGCCCCCGGGAGTCGTGTTTTCAGAGGAACCCCAGCGGTCCAGTGTGTGGCTGGTTTGGGAGGCGGGGTGCCCGTGGCAGCACCTTCCAGCCTGGCTCTTTCCAGGGGCCCGGCTGGGGTCGCCTCTGCTTAGCAGCCACTCCAGCCGGGCGAGGAGGCTGGGGCCCGGGCTCACCTGCCCTGTGCGGTAGTTCCTTCTCCCAAGGTGTGCAGCGGCAGAGGCTAAGGCGCATCCTGAGGGCATGGCGCTTGAGGGCCTGGGGACCAGGTCACCGGTCGGCCGGAGCCAGGACCATCTCGGCCTCAGGACTGCCGGGCAGCACCCCCCGAAGCCCCCCGGAGGAGGAGGTGAGTGGCGGACGCCGGGATGAGCCAGGGCAGGTGGGGGACACGGGGGAGGAGAGGGTGGGGATGGGGATGGGGATGGGCAGGGGCCGGACCCAGGAGTCCACACCCCTCCCCCAGGCATCCAGGGCTCCCGCCCTCCCGGAGCCGCTTCGGCCGGGCTCTCTGCGGGCAGCTGGGCGGTGGCAGCAGGCGCGGTGCCTTCGGCTCTGGTGGGCGCGGGCTCGGCAGTCCCGGGCTGCGGCGAGGTGGCACCCGGCACACCCTTCAGAGGCGGTAGGGACCCTGCCCCAGGCCAGCGAGCCGGGCCTCCCTCTACTCTCTGGATTTACTGTTTCCTGAGGCCCCTCCCCCTTGGCCCTGGGCCTTCACAGCAGCGCCCCCGCCCTCTCATTCCAGAGGGCACCCCTGTCCTGCCCCAGTCTCAGCTCCTCTCAGTCCCTCCTGCCCTCCTGCCCTGCTGAGAGGTGTATGCGGAGTTTGGGGGCAGGGGCTACTCATCAAAGCTATCACTTCAGAGATTTCACAGCCGTGGCTCATTCATTCATTCATTCATTCATTCATTCATTCTAGCACGGTGCTTAAGAGTTAATCTGCCTGAGTTCTAATCCCTCGCTGGCTGTGTGATCTTGGGCAATGTGCTTAACCTCTCTGTGCCTCCATCTCCCCATTTGTAGGGGGGTAATAATAGTACTCCCTTCAGTGGGCATCAAGGAGGTAGGGCACATGCCCCGCCCCCAGCACAGTGCCTGGCACAGAGCAAGCACTCCATTCCTGGCAAGGTTTAGCACTGCAGGTTGGTACAGACCTGGCTTTGGAGGTCTGGGGTCCCCCCTTGTCCCCACCACCTGTCATTGTGACCCCAGCAACGACTCTCCCCCAAGATGGGAACGGGGAGAGAGTCACCCCAAGCCCCTCCTGCTGCTGTGGGAAGAGTGGGCTGGGCGGGCCCCAGCGGCAGTGACCATCCTCAGGTGGACACTCCTTTCCCAGCGTCCTCCTCGGCTGGAGCCACTGGTCGGTGGCCCGAGGGGCCCAGAGGAAGCTGGCTGCCCGCTGGGCCTGGGCTCGGAGCTGCAGGGCCGCGCTGGGCCTGTGGAGGCGGCGGCGGCTGGCGCGGCGGCTGGAGGCAGAGCGGTGGGCCCGGGAGCGGGGCCGCAGACGGATGCGGGACGCCCTGGGGCTCTGGCGCTGCTCCTGGCAGAGTGTGTGGGGGACTGGGCCGGGCCCAAGGTGAAGGAGGGGGGGCCGGGGCCCACCAGGGAGACCTGGGAGTCCGTATCCTCCAGCAGAGTCCAACAGGGAGACCCCACAGGGCATGCCCAGGATCGGGAAGGCTGCCCAGTGCTGTAGACCTAGTTTTTTAAAGAAAAGCTGGGAATCTAGATGTTCATGACATTCTTGGGATTCCTAAGCATCGCCAAGAAGTTTTTATAAAAACAAACCACTCCCTGAGTTGGGTTGGCTCGGTCAACAGCAGGACTTCTGTCACCAAAGCATTTCAAGCCAGACGGCTAGGGTGGCCTCTCTGCTTCCTCTTGGGTAGAGGGCAGGGGCCCACGGTCACCCAGGGCCCGGGGGCAAGGCCAGGGTGGGCAACCAGGGCTCGGGGGCGAGGCCAGCGTGAGCACCCAGGGCCACTTCAGCATCCCTCTGGCCGCAGGGCAGCGGTGCCTGCGTGACCGGTACCAGGGGTGGGCGCAGCTGCGCCGGCAGGGCCTGTGCAGGGCCATGTTCCAGAGCTGGCAGCAGGCGGCAGCTTGTCAGAGGCACAGGACGGCCAGGCCAGAGCGGCTCACCCTGCAGAGGTGGGTGGGCCTGGCAGCGGGAGGCAGAGGGTCATCCCCACCCCGGGAGGAGCAGGGGGAGAGCCCGGGGGATGGGAGGCTGGGTGGCCCCTGCAGCTCTAAGGGAGTCCAGGCTGGAGGCCTGGGACCTGGGAAACAGGGAAAGAGGTAGGGGTAGGGATAGGGTGGGGGTGGGGGTGAGGGGAGACCCCAGCCTGGAGCTGTAGAGCCATGACCACTAGCCTTCACTACCCGCTTTGTGCAGGAGGCGGGACGGCAGGCCCCTCATCCCACGTCCCCTCACCCTCCTGGCTGGGTCGGTCCTTGGGTTTGGAGGTGACGGCTGAGATGGAGGGATGAGCTCCTCAGACCTCTACCACCATCGGTGTCCCCGCTCCGCCACCATTGGCGTTTGGGGGGTCAGCTCAGGAGGACTCTGTGCACAGGGGCCAACAAGAGGGGCTGGCACCCTAAATAGAGATGCTCTAGCCCAGTGGTCGGCAAACTCATTAGCCAACAGAGCCAAATATCAACAGGACAACGATTGAAACTTCTTTTGAGAGTCACATTTTTTAAACTTAAACTTCTAAAGCCGCTTCTTCAAAATAGACTCGCCCAGACCGTGGCATTTTGTGGAAGAGCCACACTCAAGGGGCCAAAGAGCCGCATGTGGCTCGCGAGCCGCAGTTTGCCGACCACGGCTCTAGTAAAACTTGCACGTGGTTCATGAATGCCGTTGAAGAGCAGAGGGCACAGGCGATGCCCTCGGGATGGTGACAAGCTCACTGTTGCTCAGTGTCCCCACGGCCGGTAACACAGGCTGCAGGCACTGGCCCCCTTTCCCATCTGAAGGCCGTGTCCGTGTTTCAGGCCCTCAGAGTGGGGGGCCGTGCTCCCCTCACTGACTCCTGCCCTGGAGCGGGCTTGTGAGAGGAGGCAGGGGAGACTGTCCCAGGGGATCTGGGACTTGAACCACAGCTGCTGGGCTCCCTCAGACTCCTGGGCAGCATCTACCCCGCCTCCCCCATCTCCCCCCTCGCCCCGAGTGTGTGCGTCCCAAGGCCCTGAATGAAAGCCGGAACTTTCCCCCTTACACATCTATCCCTACATTTTTAAGGCACAGGGCTGTGTATGGAACCGTGTGGAACCTGTAAGACTTTGCTAAGACTTTGGGGGGTGGGGGGTGGTGCAGGTGCATTTTGAATAAATGGGACTTGTCACTGACAGCAGCTGGGCCGTCTACCCCTGTTTTGCAGCCATTTCCAGGCCTGGCGTGGGTCTGCGAGAGACGCAGGCATGCTCCGGGCCCGGGGCCGGGCCTTCCAGGCTGGCCTGAGCAGACGGGCACCGGGAGCCGCGTTTGCCACGTGGCAGGAAGCTCGAGTGGCCACAGCCCGGGTGCAGGATGCAGGAGCATCGCATGGCTCGGGCCTGCGTCGCTCTCTGGAGGAGCCACGTGCAGGGGGTCTGGGCAGCTGGGCAGCTGAGGAGGGCCCGGGCCCGGCAGGCCTTTACGGCATGGCGAGTGGCCCAGGACCAGCGCCCTGAGGCCCGCCAGCCGGCAGAAGACAGAGCTCCGGCCCAGACCCAGCTGGCCCTGTGCTGGGCTCTGTGGGTACAGGAGACCCGCCTACACCAGCTCGGCCGAGCCCACGCTGCCCGGAAGCTGAGCGCCAGGCGGATGCCCAGGGCCTTCCTGGACGCGGGGCCTGGAGTTGGTTGGGGGGCAGGGGAGAGGGTGTTTGGCGGCTGGTGCCAGGGCCTGGGAGGCTGGGGCTGCCAGAGAGAGGCGATCCTGGTCATTGCAGCTGGTCCCGGGTCAGAGCCCAGCCCTGCACTCCCCGGCTGTGTGACCCTTCTGGGGCAGGTCTCACTTTAAAGGTCAGAGACAGATAACAGAACTGCTCTGCAGGGAGGCCAAGAGATTAGAGATAGCGAACGTAAACATTCAGCTCAGGGCCAGACACTGCCTAGCAGGTGCTCTGTGAACCCGTTCTTGTGAGGACAGGGGAGGCAGTGTGAGCAGCAGGGCTGTCCTTCCTCTGAGCAGGATGCTTGCCCCTGTTGTGTGATATTCTGCTGCTCTCGGTGCCATTAAACCCGTTTGCTCCAGCAGAGCGGGGCGGGGGGGGGGGGGGGGTAGGAGGGGAGGAGCAGGACTTTGCCTGGAGGTCCCCTATCACAGGGGACTGGCAGGGGAGGCCCCCTGAGCTGCCATAAAGCCAGTCTGGAGCTGATGGCCCTCGGTATGGACTCCTTCCTCTACCCCCCAGGGTCCTAGAGGCCTGGGCCCAATCTGCCGCCCGGGGCCGTGTCCAGCGAGTCACCATCTCCCAGTTCCAGCTGGTTGGGCACAGACAGCTCCTGCGGACCCAGTGGCGGACAGAGCTGCGGACAGAGCTGCTCAGTGTGTGGCTGGAACCTCAGGTGGAGGCCCAGGAGACTAGCACAGCCCTTCCCAGGCCCAGGGCCGACCTCGAGCACTGGCATGGGCTGGCCGGCAGAGGGCGCCTCCTGTGGAACCAGGTGAGGTGGGGCCCAGGTAGAGTTCAAAATGACCGGGAGGCCAGTGGCTTCAGAATCGGCTTGTTTCAGCCCCTGGTGGCACGCCTGGCTGGATGCTTCCCCAGGGCCAGCAGCCTTGTGGACACCACCCTCCCAGCCCTTAGCCAGCCTCCTGGCTCTGGGAGCCAACCCCGGTCCATCAGCAGACATCTCCTGGGCACCTGCTGAGAGTCAGGCCTGCTGCGAAGATGAGTGCTGGGTCACAGCCTCAGGCACCCACAGTCAGTATATGTCGTGGTGCAGCGTAGCATCAAGACAGAAGTATGGGGACAGTGGCACTTTGTTCTTTTTCTGATTGAAAAAATGAGACATGCTCATTATAGAAAAATCAGATGTAAATGAGAAAGTTTCCTTTCACGATATTCTCTGCCCAAAGACAACGGCCAGATGCCCTCCAATCAGAAGCAGTTAGTTCTGAGATGAGCAAATGGTGGCAAAAGCTTGAGGGCCTGCAGGCGGGAAGAGGCTGCCCCGACAGCTGGGCACAGAAGTGGCGCCCTGTGGCATCCAGGGCTGTGTCATTGTGGGATGCACAGCCCAGAGTTACCGGCAAGGCCAGTGTCCTGCAGATGAACTGGCATCACCAGGAATTCTGGGTCAGAATGCCGGGAAGTGGCTAATAGACTTGAGAGAGTCTGAAAGGAGAGGCCAAATGGTTTTTTAATGGGATGGAAAGGAACTGGCTATTTGCAGAATCCACATTCTCTATGTGGGACTGTGGCCACAGCAGATTGTGGGGGCTCAGGGTATTTTATTTCTAGTTCTGTGCTCCAGACAATTCTATTTTTGGAGTATGTTTATAAACATGCACACCCATTCCTGGCAGGCAGGCAGGCAGCTTCTTTCTACCACACACACACACACACACACACACACACAAAACCTGTGGGATCCCTTAACATGACCTGCGTGGTTCAGGGCCCACTCAAGGTCCGGTTTCTGGAGAAGGCCGCACACTAAAATGAAGAGAGAGACTGGAAGAGTTAATTTGGGAAAATGGGGGCCAGGCGGGAAGTCCACCTCTAGTGGGAAGACTAACTGCTCTCTGGCCTTTTACCATTCCTTTTATTGAGATCCTGAAACAAAGACATCTCTTAGGGGGAAGTTCCAACAACAGAAAATCAACATACATTTACATATGATTAACAAATTAAAGTTGCCTCAAGCACCACTATCTCAACTAGACAATGAGTTAATAGCTCTGACCATTCAGAGCCCTCAAGGTCCGTAGCTCTTTTTACATTTTATCTCCAGTGACAATGTTAGGTTTCGGTTCCCGGCACACACCCAGCCAACTCTCACCTAACAGGAGGAGCGGGTATTACCCACCTCCTGGTGGCACTGGGCCCCTGAGCGAGCCTGGGGTCAGGGCCAGCAGCTGGGGGCCGAGACTGTCAGCCCACTCCCGAGAGGGGGGCCTCAGGCAAGCGATGTCACTTTAAGTGGGAGAGGAATACCTGCTCAGCAGGGAAGCTCTCACCTGTGGTGGCTGTGATTGCTCCACCCACTGCCTGCGCCTCCAGCCACATGGAGCGCTTGGGCACCTCCTCTGGGGGCCGCAGGGTTCGAGGGAGAATGTGCAGTCCCATGCACTGCCCCACGTGCCCACACAGGTAGGAGGCCCAGTACTGGGTCAGGGGCAGAGGGGCATCCCATCAGGCCAGCTGGGCCCAGCATGGCCATGCCCATTGGGCTCAGGTTTTCCTCCCTGGCTGCTCTCATAGGCCCGCAGCTGCAGGCCACAGGGACCCCGGCTGCCCAGCCCAGCCCAGCATCGCAGCCTCGGTGGGCAGAGGACGCGGACAGAAACGTCCGGGGCTCAGAGTAAGGAGACCTGCCCCTGTGGAAGGATGATGTACAAAGCACAGGGGTGACTGGTCACCGGCGCTTAAGGGCCCGGAAATGAGCTCCGAGCTCCTTGGCAGATCCATTGTATGTATTTACCTGTATGTCCACCATCCATTTCCCCTTCAGGAATATCTCAGCCATTTTCAGAAAACGGTACATCTGCCCTGCCAGCCCTACCTGTCATTTCGAGGCTTGGGTGGACATGGGGCACACGCTTCACTCAGTCCCTTTTGCCGCTCACCCCTGATCCTGTGCTCTACCTCTAGGGGTGGGCTAAGGAGGAGTCTGACCTCCTGAACGGTAGCCTTTTCTGCCTCGATTGCCCATTCCAGGCGACAGCGCCGCCCAGCGCAGGATGCAGTGGCCCGGACCCAGGGCCCAGGGCTCGCCCCCTCCAGGACCAGGAGGGGACTGCAGCTCTGAAGGCCAGGGAGACAAGAGTTGGCTGGGGTAAGCAACTGCATGGAGAAGTGAGGTGGGGCCGGCAGGACGGGGGGGGGGGGGGGGGGGGGGGGGGGTGCGGGGGGTGGGGGGCGGAAGGGCGTGCCTGAGCCGTGGCCAGGGCTGGGACTCTGGTCAGCGCTCACCCCCACAGGCTCCTGGAGGAGCTGGCCCTTGGCCCCTGGCTCGTCCCTTTCCCTGGCCGTCAAGGGGTCATCTCTCCCCAGGAGGAAATACCTGCGGCGCTGGCACCTCGAGGCACTGCTCCGCCGGCTCCAGGGCTCCCAGCAGGCCAGGCGCCTGGCAGGGACGTGGCAATGTTGGGTGGATGCTCAGGGGGTGTTATGCCCAGACTTCATGATCCCCAAGGACCACCAGGGAGCCAAGTCCGATGCAATAAGCAAGAGAGCCTTCACCATGCTAGCATGTGCTCCCCCACTCATGCCGGCAGCATGGCGGAAGAGCGCGAATTTCTTCCGGTCCAGGGGTTTTGAGGGCTAGGGATAACTCCGCCCTACGCGGCGGAGTTGGGAGCTCATCCTCGCCCCGCCCTGCCCTTTCAGGGGCAGAGGAGCTGGCGCGGTCGCTGGTGAGTGGGGAGGGTCCCTCCTTCCCCCTCCCTCCTCCCCCCTTCCCCCCAGCCTCACACCAGTTTCTCATGCTATTCTCAACCCTAATGCCTGGATGAAGTCTTTCAAAGTATGGCCTCTGGACCTACTCAGTCTGAAACCTGGGACAGGCCAGGGAATCTGCATTGTTCACACCCCTCCTATGGCACCCTCCTCCTGTGCCACAGAGGGGCTGGGGGCCAGGCGAGCACAGGTCCGAGGCGGCAGCTGGCCAGTTCGGGGCTCCCCCTGTCCCCTCAGCTCAGGCAGTGGCAGCTGAGGTGGGTCTGGCGCACGTGGAGGCGGCGGGTCGCGCAGCTGCGGGTGGCTCGGCAGTTACAGGGACGCGCTGAGGGCTGGGTCCTTTCTCAGGTGCGGGTGGGGCGGCCCGGCCTCCCGCAGCCCTTCCAGACCAGCGCCTCCGAGCTGCAGGGCCTCCACGCGGGCCACCAGGGCGCCCTCACTTGTGGGGGAGGGTTGGTTTGGGTAGAGAAACTGTTTTGGATCTGGAGCCCTTGACCTAGCTGGCAGCCCTGTGCTCGGCCCAGTCCGCCTGGCATGCAGACTGGGAACAAGCTTGGCCTGCGGCACAGCTGCCCTCACATGGCTGCCAAGGCGTTGTCCCTTCCCGTCCCGTGTGCTCTGAGCACAGCTCCCCGGTCACAGGGCAGCTCTAGTCTGAGCCTCTGCATTTGGCCAGGGCAGGGTTGGCTGCTGCCCGCCTAGGGCAGAGGGAGGGACCGAAGGAGCCGGGCACAGACAGCCCAGGCCGGAGGGAGCTGGAGAACCTCTCCTTTCCCTCCCTGTGCCAGGCCTTGGAGAAGTGGCACCGGAATCTGGCAGCCAGGGGCCTGCGGAGGGGCCACCGGCAGCCCGAGAGCCCGGAGGAAGGTGGGCACAGAGCCCGGGGCACCCGTGTGTGGCGGACTCCAGGTGGAGCAGGGGCCGCTGCAGCTGGGACTTGTTGCCGTGGAAAGAAGATCAGAACAGAGCCCGGCCTTCCCAGGGAGGAACCGCGCTCCTCTCCCTTCCCGGGAGTGCAGACTGGCAGGCCACAGGGCGCTCGGCCCAGCGAAGGGTCCTGGGAGCTTTGAATGACAATAAACTGCCCTCCTTGGTCTCAGCTGCTTCTCTGGCTCCCAGGAGGCTGGACGGACAGATGGACGGACGTGGAGGGGATGTGCCCACGGGCTGCTCTTTGGACGCACCCCTCTCCCTCTCCCCACAACTAAGCTGGCAGGCAGAGACGGGGACAGAAAAGAGCCACATGCACCTGCCAGTCACCACCCTGGGCAGCGCAGCTTGAGGGCCGATTCCTGGAAGCAGTGCCAGGCAGACAGATGCCAGCTGCGCAGAGGGCAGAGCAGCTGGCAAGAGGAGGTCCTGCCTGACAACTAAGCCAGGGAAACAGAAGCCCTTGCTTACGTGACCTCAAGTGACCTCGCCTTTGCCCTCCATGGTAACGGGCAGCGGAGAAAAGGGATGGCGGCGGCTCCAGCAGGCACAGAGATCAGACACCCTGAGCCCTCCACGGGGAGTTTATCTCTTGCGCCACCAGAATAGAGAAAAGCAGCGTGGTGGGAGGTGGAGCCCAGCGGGCTCCGGGGAGAAGGTGGCCCGTGTTATTAGGTTTCAGCCCCAGACCCATCCAGGGGCCTGGTGCCAAGGGTAGTGTCTGCCCTTCAGTTACAAGTAGGAAAGTGCCCAGCTGCCAAGGTCTTGGAGGCAGAGGGGGCAGCATCTTCACTCTGCCCCCGCTCTCAGGCAGTGCCACACGTGCCTGCTGCCCGGTGCTTTGCCCGTCTTCCATGCCCAAGCCGGTCACTGGCAGCCTCAGGCTGCTCGGAGAGACCACCTGGTTCGAGGTACCGTCAGCAGTAACGTCTCCTCCCCATCTCAGGGAGGATTGTCCGGGGCGGGATGGAGGTGCTCCCCACAAAAGAGCGAAATCTCCCGGCCCAGCAGGGAACGCCAGGTCCCGCACGGGGCTGACTCAGGTCCAGCCGGAGCCCGGCGCCTCGCACCGCGCGGCTGCCGTTCGTTGTAGCTGAGGGAGTCTGGGAGCCTGAGGGTGTCAGGGCACGGGGTCCCGGAGCCTGTCCCCCCTCGTTCCGGGTCTGTGGAGCAGTTCGAATGTGTCCTCCACCACCTGCCACAGGCAGTTGTCCAGAGGAAACTCGTTGTCCACCAGGTTGACGAGGAAGTAGTTGTCGTGGATGTCCTGGATGATCATGCGGGACGGGGACCCCTCGGCGTACAGCTTGCCCCACTTCTCCACCCACAGGGCGAAGGCTTCGTCCTGTATGTGCACACGGACAGGCACAGGCGCGGGCGCAGTCACACAAGTGCAGTCACACACGGACGCACAAGCACAGACAGACATACAGCCGCGCAGGCGCGGGTCACGGGGCTGCCCTTGGGTCAGGGCTTGTGCTCGGGGCCGCGGCCCAGGAGGACCTTCCTGGGAACAGAACGTGCCCGCTGGGGGCCACCCCCCACTCCCCAGCCCAGAAACAAGCTGCGGCTCAGAGTTAAGGTGCAGCCAGGAGGGCCCCAGCCGGCCTCCCCGGGGGCGTGGCTTCCAGCCACTCGGGGGGAGCCAGTGTGTTCCGAGTGGGCAGGGCAGGCCCGCCCCCAGCCCCTTACCTTCCAGAACATGAAGCTGACCGGGTCCACCACTGTGGGCTGGATGATCTCTCGCCCAGGGAAGATGCCCCAGGTGACAGCGTTGGGCTGCAGCTCGGGGGCATTAGTGATGTTTTCACCCTGGGGTGGGAGGGAGGTAGGAGCAGATGGGACGGTAAAGCCAACCAGAGCCCCCTTGCTGCCCAGGCAGCCCTCTGCTCCACACACTCCCCGTCCCCCCACCTCTGAAGCCTGAGACCTAGAGGCCACGCTGAGACTTCCTCCTCTCTCGCTTCAATCAGCTCTGCACCCAGCGGTTCTGCCTGCTTCCTCTCCACTCTGCTCCTTCGGGTCTAGCCCAGCTGGGCCTCTTTGCTACTCAGACAAGGGCCTCTGACTCCAGTGTTCCCGGGCCCGTTCACCATCAGCAGTGCACTGTGACCGGCCTAAACAACACCCGGAGCCAGTGGGAAGGCTCCCTCCTGCCTTCGGGGAAAACCCCGTTCCAAGCAGGACCGTGGAGCCGAGCCCCTGCTCCACACTAGCCTCGCGCTCACAGTCAGCGGTGACCCACTAGCTGTAGACGCTGCCTTTGCACACCCGCCCTTCTCTCCTGTCCTTAAGGCCTCAGAGGACCCGCCAAGAAGCCCTGTGGCCTCCCAGGTTAAGTGTCCCTCCGCTGGGTCCCAGAGAACTGTCCCATTACCCGCTGGGAGTTCCGAGGCGGGACCTGTCTGCCCAGGACCAGTGCCCGCTGAGTGCCGGAGTGACCGCGGGCGTCCTCACTGGCCGCTGTCCCCGAGCACCTCAACGTGGAGCTGGCCTACCTTCACGTCCACGATGTGGTAGTTAACACGCTGCTCGTACTTCTTCAGCACCTGCAGCAGGGCCCCCACCGTGTCTCGGGAAGTGAAGAACTCCAAGTAGGCCTGGGGAGCAGGCACCCGTCACCCCTGGTCCCTGCTGGCCGCCTTCTCGGCGCTCAGCGAGCCCAGCCCATTGCCTGCACACACAGGTGTGTGGGACACTTAAGACAGGGGCACTAGTGGTGGCCACTGGATGGAGTCACGGAGCAGGTGGGGAGACTTCCCAGCTGGCCAGTGTGAGGGGCCTCTGCCAGCCCGCCTCCTGCTAGGCAGGGAGGCCCCTGGAGAAGCCGCCGGAAAGCTGGCGAGGAAGCCAGTGGCTCTAGTGGCTTCTCTGGCACCAACTGGACCAGAGATTAAGCTGGGTTTACTCCGTCCTTTGCCGTAATGCCCATAACACTGCAGGGGGGGCCTCTCAGCCCCATTTCACAGATGGGGCAAGTTGAGGTAAAGTGGGCTCACTGGTGATAGACAGCAGAGCTGGCCTCTTCACACCCGGGTCGTTTTATCAAGGCCAGGGATTCAGTGAGTGTAACCTTCACTCCGGCAGCCCCGGAGAGAGGTGTCAGCTCGGAAGAGTAGCAGGTGCTCCCTGTTCCTCCCGGTGCTGAGCTTTGCCTGCCTTGTCCCGTCTCCTCCCCACACCATGGGTGATCCGGCCCACTGAGAAGGCGGCAGCTCGGAGCAGACGGGGACCCCAGCCAGGCCTGACCTAAAGTTCCCGTCCACCCTGGACCCTGCTGCTCAGCGAAGGGCCCAGAGAGGAAGGCCCCTGTCCCGGCGATGGGCGCCCTGCACACCTTCTGGAAGACATAGCCCCCGCTGGGGCCCCAGCCCACGACCGGGTCGGAGGACGGCTTCCCGTTGATGTTGGGCTGGGAGTTGATGGTGAGGATGCCCTGCCGGTTCACGCGCAGCAGCTCCTCCTTCATCAGGCTGGTCTCGGCCGCCAGGGGCTCGTCATTCCAGGGCAGGCAGGTGACCTGGAGGGAGGGCCGGGCTGGGCTCACAATCCCCATGAGCCACCCGGCCTGTCTCTGCCTCTGTGAGCCCCTCCCAGGCCCCCAGCTGGCGCTTCCCAACTCACCCTCTCCCGTGGCTGAGGTCCCACGCTCAGAGCGGAAGGAGGAGGTGAGGGTGGGTGGGCCACTGAGAGGCTGGGTGGGGGTGGGGGGTAACCAGGGACCCCACCGAGCACCACTCACTGGACAGCCGCTCTGGTTCGGCTCCCCCGAGAGGTAGTGGACAAATACTTCAAAGACGCTCTCTTCGCTGGTCAGCTCCTCCCCCCACATCCTCAGCAGCTCCTCCCGCGGGGCCTTGCTGGTCAGGTAGAAGAGGTAGTAGTCCTTCAGCTCCCCGAAGGCTGGCGAGGACGAGTGGCCCCTGCAGGGGACGTGCCGGCGGTCAGGGCGCAGCCTCACCTCGGGCTCCTTCCAGGAGGACAGTGTCCCCCACACCGGAGGTCCTTCTGTGAGGCCGGTCCCGCCAGGACGGATGAACATGCCAACTCCTGCCCCCTGCCTCCCAGGACACAGCACCCGCTGGCCAAGGGCAGTGCGGCCTCACCAGCGCCCGTTGGGGAACTCATCCCAGTCCTGGGTGCGGTAGATGTAGCTCTTGGGTCTGGAGGCCCAGAAGATGGGACGCACGTCTTCCTCCCGGCGCTTGGGGTGGGCGCTGACAGCCCAGGGCAGGGGGCGCCTGGGGGATTGGGGACAGAAAGGGGCTGGCTCAGGTCCTCGGGGGAGGACACACTGGGCTGGGGCTTTCAATCTGAAATGTAAGTGTGCACGGACCTCCCACTGAGGCTGGAACCCCGTGTGCCTCCAGCCACAGCACGGACAAGCCCTGCACCCGTGGCGTCCAGCCCTGCGAGGGGGCACTCTTCCTGCGACTCCCATCCGGCCTCCCTGCCCACTGACTCCCCTCTGTGGCTCCCGAGCCTGCATCGGGGGTCCCTGGCCTCACCTGGGGTCCTCGGCCCACATGCCCAGGCGCTTCAGCACCTCGGTGGTGGCCATCCTGCGGTTGAGGGTGTAGAAGTGCAGGCCGGGCACCAGGCCGCTGGCCAGCAGCTCCTGGCACAGGCTCACGGCATGGTCGATGCCGTAGTTGCAGATGGCATCGTCGTTGTCCTTGATGGGCTCGATCACGTCCCTGATCTTCTGTGGCACCTCCAGCTTGGACAGCTTCACGAGCTGCCGCAGGGAGTGGTAGCCCTGCCGAGACACGGGGGCTGTGGAGCCACGCCCACCCCGCCTCTCACCCTGCTCCTCCCCTTCGGCTCCCTCCCAGGCCTCGGGGCCAAGTGCAGTGTGACAGAGACCCAGGCAGGTCAGACCATGCTGCGCAAGGACCCTCGCCCGGTCCTGCTTTTTCCAGTCTGCAGGGACTCAGCTGTCCGGAGCATCCCTGTGTCGCTCGGAGCCAGCCCTTTAGCCCCAGTGGTTCCCATGCCTCCCGGGTCCTGGGGACCACCTGGGAGACCTGAGAAGTAAGGTGCACATTCCCAGGCCCAGGCCCAGGCCCCACCTCAGATCTGCTAACTCAGCACTTCTAGGCACGAGATCTGGAAGTCCATCTTTTGAAAAGCTTATCCT